TGCTTTATATACTATAGGTGGAGGTATATTAGGCAGAGGTGAGATAATCGGAGGGACCTCAGGCTGTAAATGTGCTGTTTGAGTAAGAAGCGTACTGAAAGCCTGGGAAAATTGATCCATATGGCGACTATTCTCCTCTAGCTTTCTCTCGCAAGCTGCTATGTGCGACACAATTCTGCAAGATCTATGGCCATGTCGGAATGTCAGGATTACTAGTTGATCCAGCAGGCAGAATTATATCACACCTAGGACTAAAGGAAACGTCTTACCGGGTCTTAGAATAGCTGGACTTAACGTACCAGAGAATAGTCAGAATACTTGCAGAGGCCAGGGACACAGAAGGAGACACAACGATGAGGGAAAGCCAGAAGTCAAGGATACCAGAATTCATGGAAGTCAAAAAGGCAATAACCAGAAATAAACGATCAGGTAAGGAGAAATGAGTTTAAATAACCCTCCTGCAGATCCGATTGGCCGTAACCGGCCTTTGACCCCAAAACGTGAGTGCGTGTCTATTATGTGACATCACACACACGCAGGGGCATACCTAGAGCATTTGGCAGCCGGGGCAGATCCTGTGCTTGGCACCCCCTTGCCCCCTCACCCCCTTCAAAAAAAAAACCCCTAAAAAAACAGCAGTGGATAAGGGCCATATTAAGACCCGCCCCAGTGCCAGTTTGGCTCCGCCCCCGATTTTGCTTAGATCCGCCCCACTTTTCCTCCGTGCGGCCAGTTTATCAGCTGTTTGCTTGTGTGAGCTGTACTGGCCGCACGGCACCCTAACTACCATGGGGCACTGTGCACTCCACCGGTGCAAGGATTTTTGCCGCCCTAGGCAAAAGTAAAGTTTGCCGCCCCCCCATGTGACATCACAATGACCCACCCATATGATTTGCCATGTTAACTAACGCCAATGCTGCAGTGCCGCCGTGTTTACAATAAAAGGCCTGCAGGGACAGGCTATAGACACCAGAACCACTACATTAAGCTGCAGTGGTTCTGGGGACTATAGTGTTTCTTTAATGTGAGGTAAATTAGAGATTAGTGCCACGAATAATATACTAGATTGCCTACTTACAACCAGATGAGGATGATGATGGGCTCCAGCTGCAGTCTGGCTCCACTGGTCTGGTGCAGAACAGGCTCTCTGGAAGCGGTTTGTAACTGTGGTCACAAAAATCAATGTTCTGGGAGAACGGGAAGAAGCTCCATTTTTGGGGGGCCCTTTACACGGCTCAAGGTCTGGGTCCCAGGGTCCACCTTCATGTTCCACCAATGAGTTTGTTCACAGGTGGTGGAGTGTGTAGGGGATGTCCTGATATGTGTGTAAGAAATGCATTGTGTGAATCTGTGTTTGTATGTGTAAGGGCTGCAAGGTGTGTTTCTGTGTATGTACGGGATGCATTGAGTGTGTGTAATGAATGCATTGTGTGTTTCTGTGTGTGTAAGGGATGCATTGTGTGTAACGGTTGCATTGCTTGTGTGTCTGTGTGTGTAATGCATTGTGTGTTTTTCTGTGTGCAAGGGGTGCATTGTGTGTGATGAATGTCAATCTCTCCCCCACTCCAATTTCCTTCTCCCCCCTCCCAATTTCTTTCTTTCTCCTCCCCCCCTACCACTGTTGTAGCGTGGCCGAGCCCTGTATCATGGTCCGCGGGTACAGGGAGCTTTTGTTTGCTGTACCCGGCCGGACTGAAAGGAAGTGCACATTGAGTGTGCACTTCCTGTTAGTCCGGCCAGGTACAGGAGACAGATGCTCCTTGTATCCGCGGACCATGATACAGGGCTCGGCCACGCTACAGTGAGGGAGTGACAGAAGGGAGCGCCGAGCGCTGAGCACTTCCCTCCTGTCAGCCCCTCTCCTCAGGCTGCGCCCGGGTGGGCAAAGCTGCAGCCGCCTGAGGCTCTCTACAGAGCGCTCGGGCAGCTGCTGCATGAGTAGGGCCGGCGCTCCTAGCAGCGCCCCCTCCCAAGGCACCCCCCCACCCTGGTGGCACCCGGGGCGGACCGCCCCCTCCGCCCCCCCCTTAGTACGCCACTGCACACACGTCGACATTACCGTGGGCAGATGTAGGGCTATAATCTGGCGTGGATCTGCAGCGGCCTGCCGAACGGCACCTCCATTACCGCATAGGAAGACAATTTCCATTGCTAACACCATAAGGTGAGGATGAATACGTAACAATCGGGAGGTATAAATCTCGGCCTCATCCTGTGATCATGATAAATATGTTACAGATAGATAGTTTAATGTATTCATAGACACATATGTACATGCACAAAAAACACACATTCTTTAAAAAAAATGTAAAAAAAAAAAAAAAATAGAATGTAGAGGTACAGGCATAAGTCGGAAGATATGAACGGACACACACACACCCAACGATAGACATATATAGGCAATCACAAACACACATAGGCTTATGGATACACACAGAAATAGACAAAAAGGCAAACACTCACAGATGAACAGACAGTGAGAGTAAATGTTAAATTTCCTTTTAAGAAAAAAAAATGAGGCTTCCACAGTTAAATGTACAATGTACATCCAATCATAAGCCTTGATTGCTCTATATTAGCTGACTGTGATATCATGAGCTCTCACATCTTAACTGTTTGTCCACTCTCCCTCATACATTATTAAAACACAAGCTAATACAAGCAGAGCTGCTGGATTTCCCTATGGCACCCAGCACCAGATGGGAATTATTTATTTAAATGTGGGACTGTCCCATTATAGGAACACTCAAGTCCCAATTCTCACTCCATAACAACTTCATCTCAATGAAATTGTTATGGGTCTGGAGTGCACCTTACAGGGTTACACTGATTTTTAATGGTTTAACACCAAAGTTCTGGACGTATTTTTGCGGACTTCCCTGTCCTATCTTCAGCCAATTTTCTCTTGCACGCAAACAGCAGATGCGCGGGGAGAGAGGGAATTAGAACAGTCCACTCCCATCAGCCAATCCATGTCCCATGTGCTGCAGACGGCTTCCTCTAGATCCTAGGGAAGTCACCTTCATGCACCCAAAAAGGACATTTGATGTGTTTTTTGTCGCCCCTTAGATAGTGCCGCCCAAGGCAAATTCCTAGTTTGCCTTGGGCAAGAAACATCACTGCTGGTAGGATGCGATCCATCAGCCCCTGGGTCTTCATTCGGTTCTCTAATCAGGGAGGGAGCATGCCATGGGCACTTTGTGGACCAGTTGAATTGCCAAGGTTTGCCAGGTATCGCACTCCACAATCATAGAAAGCCACAGCTGCAGATAGGGCTGTTGGTTTCAGCCCAATATTGCCCTCGTACTCCACTCCTCCAGGCCCAGAGTGTCACAGGAACTGGCATATAGCTTTCACTGACCTCTAAATGTCATGCCATGGTAACTAGGAATTTTGTCCTGGCCCTGGGTGTTTGCCAGCTTGTTCAACCCTGCACCGATGGCTGCAGGAACGCAGGGTTCACAAATGCACCCGGATCCTCTTTGTTTTGTCTGTCATGGGGGGCCCAAGAGCTAGCCGGCTGGCCACCTTAGGGACCCCACGATGCAGGAAGCTGTGTGGAATGAATGTAATCTTCTTGCTCTGCTCCCTCACATACCCAGCTGTGATGAAAGGAGCATGAATATGACGTCACTCCTGCCACAGCATCACTGTGAAGGAGCAGAGAAAGAAGGGCTTGAAGCTTACAGAGTCAGAGTAGCTCCACTAGACAAAAGTGAAAAGATCCACTACAGCTGTCCCAAAGGTGGTGAGGCTCTGTGGACGTAAATTAATATAAAACACATAATAATAATAATGAGACATAATAATAATTTGTGAGTGTGTAAGAGAATGTTTGCGTGTCTGTCAGTGAATGTGTGTTTCTGTGAGTGAGAGTGTGTCTGCGTCTGTAAGCGAGTGTGTATGTGTCTGTCAGAGGGTATTAGTACCCATGACCACAAAAAGCCAAGTGAAAAAATCTGATACATTGCATAAAACACCTAGTGTGTCACATCAGAATATATTGTTATCTGCATAAGTTAAATGCCCATGATGTTTGGTTCTAGTCATTCAACTTTATCTGACATGTATTCCTGACAATATAGTGTTTATTTAACTATTTAGGTTACTGCACCCACTCTTTTCTCTTAAGAAAGGCGTTTTTACTATTCTTCTGACGCCACGGCTGATCCCCCTCTATGGCTTAGATCATGAATCTTGATTATCTCAGCCAATCCAATGCTTTCCCATGGGAAAACATTGGGAGGCTATTGCACATGTGTGGCAAAATGTCATGCTGCTCCAATCAGCATCTCCTTATAGAGATGCAGCGAATCCTGCATCTCTTTGGGGAGCGTCCAGCGCCTCCATGCAGGGTGTGGAAATGCTGAATAAGCACCACCCAGGAAGCTCCTATACAGGCAGTGACTAGGCAGCATTGTAAACACTGCCGCTTCGTTGAAAAGGTAGTGCTTACATTAAAAAGCTTGCCGGGACAGGGTATAGACACCAGAACCATTACACTAAGCTATATTGGTTCTAGTGACTATAGTGTCCCTTTAAGACCTGTTATTTTTGTGAATGAAAATAAAGCTTTCTTAGTTTTAAAAAGCAGGCTCCTAAATGTCTTAGATTCAAAGCAAATTTACCAAGCCCTGTTAGAAGTGTTTACTGTTCAAGCACAGTAACAGAGAATGCAAAGTCTTTCTAAAATAAAAAAAAATATATAAATATGTTTATATATATAATTTCCCCCACACTTGTTATATGCTATATTTACTTATTTTTATATAAGTATTTTACTGTTAAAAGAAAAAAAAAACAGTCCTGGTGTTTACCGTCAATAAGGCAGGTAGTATAAACAAGTAGTTTTGTGCTGCCTCGTTTTGGAACAAACATGGCGGATGTGAAAGCTCTTTATCTAGCCCACGACCTCGTTTTGAAGCACTAACGCAGGCTATTGATATAGGGGACTTTCACATTCCCTCGTGACCAGCGCTTCCTCTTTGTGTCATGTGATCTGAGCCGCCCGAATTGCACAGTGACAGCATCCTGGGGAGTTTAGATGAGGCTGTAGTAGCATAGTAGGTATCGTTTGATCGTAAGGTGCAGTGGGATGTGTGTTATAAGGACGCAAATCGTAATTCAGTCGTGTCTTTTGAAAATATTTTTTTCTGGTGTTTTTTTTTGTTGATAACATAATCCTGCATTTGATCTCAGGTACATAGAAGTTAAAGTGGAAATTCCTTGGAGAATACATAACATATTACCTAGGAAACTTCCCTTTATTGTTATTAGATACATAAACTACTTTTCACAATAGCCTGCAGCAGTTTGCATGTATGATGTTATTTCAGTTTATTGTTTTTAATACCTTTCAGTAAGTGCATACTTAATAATTCATTACATGAGAACATAATCATGTAAATGTGTTGTGTGTTTTTTTTTATTTTTATTTTTTTATACTTTTTATTTTTTTATTCAAATTTTATTTATTTTTAGTAAACTGGCAGGTTCACACATACAGTGTGATATCATGACTTCTGCAGTGGAACGCACAGATGACCTGGTTAGAGAATACCTCACCTTCAGAGGGTTCACCAACACTTTGAAATTCTTTGAAGCGGATATCAAAGCTGACAAAGAGAAAGGACTCCGGGTAAACCACTTCATATGTGATAAACGCATCTCTTTACAACTGATGTAGACTTGTATATATGTTACTCTTCTCAAGATTTCTTTAGTGTGTTCAGTAAATAGCAGACCATGCATTGAGTAAGGAAATAGTTGAAATAATTGTCTATGCAAATCACTGAACTGTATATGGCAGTTTTAATCAAAACTTTGCTAAGTCAAACACAAGTGGCTATTCCCAAAAACATGTAGTTGTTCAGCTGTTTTTGCACTTCTGTATATACTTCTTCTATAGGCCTCAATGGGTTTGTTAAATGCATATAGAGAATTGCAACTGAATTAATTTAATTATTTTGATTCAATGCCTCCGATTAAGGGAATTGAACCTACAATCCAAGATTAATTAATGCTGTTCCTAACCTCCCACCCCTATTATGGTATACTAACCCTAAATCCCACCCTCCTTCCAAAAACTCTACTTGTACTCCTGTGACAGTGACTGACATTCAGTAGTATTTGGTTACAGTTCCACTGGAAAATCAATTGGAGTACTATTCAGTGAAATCTTACTGCTGCCATGGGATCCAATTGAAAATAACAGGGATTTGCCCAACTCAGTGCGATTTCAGTTTGATTATAGTGGGTAAAGTGATATACAGAGTAATTTTATTATCTAGATTTGGCAGAATTCAACAGATTGAATTCATTTTAATGTAGAAGTACAAAACCTTTTTAGAGAGGGAGACAGATGATTGGCTTGAATTCTTACCATGGGTCTCTGCCATGTGACGTCAGTGAGATGGTTGTGCTTGATTATTGGAAGTGATCTTTCCGATGTCTGGTTGTAGGCTGCTGGATGAGTTCTGTAAAATGCTTTGAAAATATTAATCTCCTCTTACATGTCCTTCCCCAACCTCTTGACTATGATCCCCTGTGTTTCTCCCCATTACTCCAATTTCCCATGCCTACACTCCCTCATTTATCTCTTCACCATTTTAAATTAGCAGTTCTCCAACAAGCAGCATACATGGAGGTCATTTGATTTCTTTGTCAGGCTGCTGCTCACCTCCCCACAATTTACAAATGTGGCTGTGCATGTGAGGAGAGAGCCAGGGATGTGAGGCTATCTCCAGTATCCACCTCTCATCCTTAACATCGCACCAAGCCATAAAGTTGAGAAAGTGACCTGTCACCTGGTCTCACATAACTGGGCCTGACATCAACACATTTCCATTGACCAACTCTGACGACAGGTGTGCATGCTCACTTGTTGCTACGTCGAATTTTGTAAGCTGTGAACCAGTGGTCATGTATTCATGACCGGATTTTGCCTGGCTGCAGGAGGTTGTGCACCCAGTGTCTCTGATGTATAAAATTTATAAATGGTTACTTACTCCTGGCAAATACTGCAAAGCTGTATAATTGGAATCTAAAACAAATCAAGCAATTAATAAATGATGTCCAAGAAGTTAGCGTGAATAATAATTTAAGAAGGCACATTTATTGGAAATCGTACTCCGTCAATATAAATCAAACAGCCACAGTACATAAAAAAAATAAAAATAAAAAAAAAAAGTAATTTTTTACATTTACGATTTTGTCCCTAACACCCAGGACATGGGTCTGTACAGATAGTGTGGATTGATATGAATCTAGGACTAAACGCTTAAGTAGCTAAAACAAAAGTAATAGACGAATAGCCAAGAAAAAGTATTTTGTATAAACTCTTACTGATTAGTGATTCATTGGCCATTTTTAATAATTTTAAAATCAGACTGTAACAGATCTAGCAATCTGTTTTCTGTCACAATGACTTCCAGCTGTCTCCATCATTTAAGGGAAGCAGTATTGCACTAGGTTAATGTTAAACGTTTTATGAAGATCTTGAAATGTATTGGTACTCTTCCCTGCACCCCCATCTCAGCTGAATTCATAAAATGTGAAATTTACACTTGAATGTAACCTGTAAAATATTGATTTAAATGTGAGTGTCCCTTTAATAATTTTTGGTGCAGCACTGTCCGGTACTGAATCAGCACAAATCCTTCTTTGTTTGTAAATACAGGAAGTAAAGTTTCTGCAGAATATCTTGCATATTTAAATTTATGTATATAAATATTCACCAACAGTTTCTGGATGTAGCTGGCAGGGCCTTTTATCTTTTTTAGGTGGTATACTTTTAAAAAGACCCAGAGGTATGAAGGCCACCTTAAACCGTCCTGAAGCAGCTTGTCAAGGTCGCCACAATAAAATATTTCCTAAGGGGGCTAATCTGAATGGCTTGCTCTATAATTGTATGACCACATGGTAGTTGATATATGCAATATATAACTGTTTATCGGGTTGGGTTAATATCATTGGCAGGTGGATAGAATTGTGGATCAGCTCCTGCAGTTTATCCAGAGCTATGATCTGAATGGCTTGCTGGATTATTGGGCTTATCTTGAAAGACGTCTTTTCAGCCGTCTTGAAGATGCGTATCGTCCAACCATCCACAAACTGAGGACCAGTCTCTTCCGCTATTATCTTGTCTACACAGTGCAGGTGGGTTAATTAATCTTCTATTGATACTACGGTCTCTGCAGCCAACCATTTATCATTTAATTTTTTTTTTTATTTTTTTTTTATCTTTGCCCTCCCTCAGTTTTAGAGCATCCTTCACCATAATTCTGTTTTTAGCTACAAGGCCCACCTAATTTGCCTTCAAAATTGAATGCGAATGTCATAGGAACCTCTGCTTAATGTATTATTACTGTATCTGTATGGTTATCTTTGCATTACAGACCAGCCGGACAGATAAGGCACATGACTTCTTCCAAAAACAAGCTGCAGAGTTACAAAATCAGGCTGAATGGAAAGAATGGTTTGCCCTACCCTTCCTGCCAACCCCTGAAGGGAATCCAATCTTTGCCTCCTATTTCTCCCGAAAGTGGGCAGACAATTTTACGGTATCACTACATAACTTCCTCAGCGTCCTTTTTCAGTGTATGCATATCCTTTTATTTGCTATTGTTGATTTTCTGTGGAGGAAAAAAATAATTTTTTGTAAAGAACATATTTGGAAGTAGCTGAAATTGTATTGTCAAGCAAACTGTACATTAACCTGACACTAGTTTTTAATTTTTGTTAATTAAAAGCCTATTGAATAGCTGTTCAGAAATAGGAGGCCGTATGTATGTATGCTGTGAAATAATGATTGTAGTGAGAACATTTTAAATTTAAAGTCAACAAATTCTATTATTTTAAAAGATTCATGTTTGAGAGTCTTATTCATAGTTCTCAGTGTACACTATAAAGTATTTATCACAGATCCTCTCATAATTTTGAATTGAATTTGTTATGCTGACTTAACTTGTAGACTTTTGTAGTGCTGTACAGTGGGTGTTCATGGTGCTTGGATTTAATGTTGAACCCAATTGTCTTCTGGAATGCATGAGTGAACAGTGGATTTATTGTTCTTGGATTTGGTTTATTGAGTAAACCCTTAAAAGTTTACTGTAACCTTTTATTTATAAAGAAATAAAAGTTTTTAAAGTTACTATGCCCTACTGACCACTGTTTATAGGTGCCACCCACAAAAAGATTAGAAATACAAAAGGCAAAAAAAGTTTTTTTTTATTTTACGAACTTGGAATACAGATCTAGGCAAAGCTCCCAGACTGCTTTTTTTTGACTCTTCCGATGTCATCAAGTTTCTTGAGTGGTCCAGTTGATGTGGAATGTTTTGTTGGCTTGGAGTCTCATGCATGCCTTCTGACCAGGGGAGGGAAGGGATTTAAAGAAAACCAAACCATATATCAGCTATAGAGGGAAGGGAGAGCAAGTAATCCCCTTTTGGTTTTACCTTCTTTAACCTTCTTGCACCTGTGCCTACAATCTTAAACTTTGACACAGAATTTCAGAAAATTGTCCACATGCAGGAAGAGAATGATGTCTTGAGACAAAAGGTCAGTAGAATGTTATACACTCATTTCTCTGTGAAGAACCTGTACCAATATTGATTTTATCCAAACCTTTCTTCTATTCTTTCAGCTTTTTGCTCTGCAAGCGGAGACACAACGAACAAAGAAGGATGGTGACGATGGGCCCTTAGTCCACCACAAGCTGCCGCACTATGTGTCTAATATGGATCGGTTGGGGGATTCAGAGCTGTCAGTATGAATAATTTGCACAAACAGCATTCAGTATACCAGTGATGGCTAACATGTGCCACTCTTATTTTGAATTTTGCTTACCATGGTGATCAGCCTTCATTTTGTCCAGGAAAGCCTTGTGAAAAATAGTGTCCAGAGAAACAGCTGCTTTGTTAGAAGAAAAGGAAAATCATGATAGTCTACTACTTGTACTGAAACTTTAAAGGACAACTGTCAATTTTTACATTTAAAGAGATATATATATATAAATAGATATCTCATGGTGTTTCTTTAACCCCTTAAGGACACATGACGTGTGTGACATGTCATGATGCCCTTTTATTCCAGAAGTTTGATCCTTAAGGGGTTAAATGTAGAAAGAAATGAAAAATTGTGTGTATATATATATAGTCTGAGTTTTTCCGGGCTCAGCAGTCATGTTGGGTGAGTCTGTACTGTTATCTGACAAACTGCTGCTCATTAACTTGTCTGCTGCAGCAGTTTCACACCGTGCATTCACAGCAGGCAAGTTAGGTTTAGCAGCAGTTGGTCAGATAACCGTACAGTCGGACAAAACATGTCTGTTCAGCTATGTAAAAGTAATATATTCTCAAAAATAAAAAAAAATATACATTATGAGGATTCTTTAAATGATCATTAAATTACAGTTGTCCTTTAAATAAATGTACATGTACATAAGACCATATAGGTGGAGGAGATATGGAATAGCTCCCCAGAATTCCAAGGGGAGGCACCTAAAGGTGATATATTTGTTGAGTGATTGTATTTTTGGCAGCACAATTTTATGTGTACTGTACTGTATCACTATGTCAGTGTTTTTCTTGAAAATTCACAGCTGCATCCACTATTTTGGTTCTGTCATTAATGCGTATTACAGATCACGCCATTTTGAACAACTTTGGTTTGCAGTGATAGACTGGGGCCTGGGCTAATCCTGTTTTTACAATCTTTCATTGCCAACCAAGGTCTGGAGACTTGTAAAATCTGTCTGTGTGTGTGTTTGTATATGTATAAATATAATTATGAAGAATGGTGAGCACTCACGGTCTTTAGAAGAGTTTAAAACTTGTACGTTTATTAAAGATTTATTTAAAAGGAAATCGACGTTTCAGTCCATGTACTGGACTTTCCTCAGGACCAAGAACCTTGTTGTACCTAGTTCTTGGTCCTGAGGAAAGTCCAGTACATGGACTGAAACGTCGATCTCCTTTTAAATGAATCCCTTAAATAAACGTAAAGTTTTAACCTCTTCTAAAGACCGCAAGTGCTCACCATTCTTCATATTTATCTACATTACCTTACCCTGGTTTGAAGCACACAGCAGCCTTTTGCTTTAAGTATGTGTGCAAGGAACTTTAAAAAAAAAAAAATAAAAAAAAAAAAAATAACAAAAATAAATATATATACTCACTTATCCACTAAACAGCAACTTCAATGTTGGCAGATTTTATTAGTTTAAACAAACCCAACCCTAATCTAGGCAAAAATAAGGGGGATTTAGTTACATTATATGATCATACATTGCATAAGCCTGCCACAATGTCAATGTGTATATATATATATATATATGTGTGTGTGTTATTGCTAAACACAAATACACACACCAGTCAAGCCATAAGACTTGCTTTTCCCACAGAAATCTCAAATTAAGTGTCCCCACTACTGCAAGGGATTCTGGGTAGGAGTATGCAAATGAGCTCAACAAAGAACCAAATTTTTGCCTCATAATTCATAGTGTGTGTGTGTGTGTGTGTGTGTATGTATGTATCTCTATATCTATATCTATATACATACATACATACATACATACATTCTGGATTTTGTCAAATAGTGGTATCGTCCACTATTGATACCGACATTGATGATAATTTGAGAGGCGGCAGTGGCACAGCGCATCCAAAGGCAGAACACACAGCCACATTAGGGCTCACCTGCTGGGGGCTTGAAAATCGAGTGATCGGAAGGAAGCACACACCCCCACCAGTCACTTGGAGAGGAACGCGGCGCAGTAGCTTCAGTTTCCGAAACTGAAGCTCCTGTACCGACCTGTTTCACTTACGCGAGAGAGGCACACCAGGATGGGGAGAGGACCAGGGTGGGTGGGGGTGAGGGAGAGGAACACTAAGGGACAGGGAGGGAAAGGGAGGTGAGGGGTACACTAAGGGACAGGGAAAGGAGAGGAACTCATGAAAACATAAAAAAAAAAAAAAATTCTGAGTGGCATGTATATTTTCTGCATTTACAACTTAATAAAAAAAAAAAAAAATAAATAAAAAACATGTTCCGATTTGTGTAGAAATTGTTTCTTTTTTCAAAATGGTAAATGTACAGAATATCGGTAAATTATCGGCTATGGGCCTAAAAATTCACAGATTATCGTTATCGGCTATAAAAAAAAGTCAATATCGGTCGTTATATATATTTATATATATATATAATTTTATTTTTACAAATCTTCTTTTTTTTTTTTCTTTTTTTTATTAAGTTGTAAATGCACAACAACTTTCCCTGTCCCTTAGTGTACTTCTCACCTCCCTCGCCCTCCCTGTCCCTTAGTGTTTCTCTCCCCCCCCATCCTTGATGGTCCCCTCCACTCCCTGGTGTGCCTATTTATCTCTCTTGTAGTGTTAAATATATTCATAAAAAAAGTAGGTAGTCCGCATTCAAGGTCTTGTAAGAAAAGAATTTAGAAATACGAAGATCCCACAATTGGTCAGCGTTTCAGTTCAATTCAAAGGACTTTCATCAGGGTCCTGATGAAAGTTCTCTGAATTGAACTGAAACGTTGACCAATTGTGGGATTTTCAAATTATTAAATTATTTTCTTACAAGACCTTGACTGCTGCCTACCTATTTTTGGGTGTATATTGTGCAGCCGAGCACCGGGCAGAAAGACTGGGAAGCTGGAGTGCAGGACCTAAGAACTGTGTGTGTGTATATATATGTATATATATATATATATATATATATATATAGTAAATGGTTAGGCTTTGTGTGCAGGCAGATTCCTGCTTATTTTTATTTTTCATTATAATATATTTTTATTGGGATTTGCTTTGTCAAACCTCTCAGAGCTGTTTGACGGAATACCAGGGGACAGGACCCTATTCGCTGCACATTAACCATTACAATGAGTTTAGTGGATGTTACTTAACGTAGCTGTTCACAATTAAGGAACAGACAACAAATGACGTGAGTAATAGAAATAGTATAATGGAAAAAAATTAACAATCCATTTCTTTTTTGCTCCACTGTTTTTAATGTGTGTTTTGTTTATCTTGCGATCTCTTGCTGCAGTAACATGGTATCCAGTCAGAGGAATTCAGGCCTGGCTGTTCAGTCTCCAAAAACAACCAGCTTCCTTTCATCCCTTCTTCCACAAAGCAAGAAACCTCCAGCCAGACCAACTCTTCAGCCCTCTGTCTCCTCACCAACACAGAGTGTGACTGCCTTGCCACTAAAGAAGGAGGCTGCTAATAATCAGGTAATGTTAGATAAACTATTCTATTTAAGACTAGTGAAGAAAATGTGTTGTGTGTATTTATGTATTACTTTTATTTTGCACGTGGTATTCTTGATGCAGGGATTATCATCAATGTTCAAATTGCACTAGTGTTATGTGCTGTGAATGAAACTTAGGACAAGCTTGTAGGAATGTGGCTGTTCTTGTTTGAGGTCTTGACTTGTAAATAAAAAATAAAAGAAGAAATATTTCAAAATATTCTTTATTATCACATAGATTGAACTTTAATTCTACTTTAAAGGACCACTATAGGCACCCAGACTACTTCAGCTTAATGAAGTGGTCTGGGTGCCTGGTCCAGCTAGGGTTAACCTTTTTTTTTTTATTTTTTTTTATAAACATTGCAGTTTCAGAGAAACAGCTATGTTTATAAATAGGTTAATCCAGCCTCTAAAGCCTCTAGTGGCTGTCTCATTGACAGCCGCTAGAGGCGTTTGCGTGCTTCTCACTGTGAAAATCACAGTGAGAAGACGCAAACGTCCAAAGGAAAGCATTATGAATGCTTTCCTATGAGACTGGCTGAATGCGCGCCCAGCTCCTGCCGCGCATGCGCATTCAGCCGAAGAGGCGGAGAGGAGGAGGAGAGCTCCCCGCCCGGCACTGGAGAAAGAGGTAAGTTTAACCCCTTCAGGGCAAGTATGTTTTCCTGGCACTATTGTGGTCCTTTAATTATGTTTACCGTGCCATGTACACTTTTTAACAAAATTGTAAATCTAGTAATACACAGTCTGCATTTTTTTTTTAATCTGTCAATACAAGGTGAAACTGTTGGTGTCTCCTAGTGGGGAATTCATCCTTCTACATGCAGGAGCAGTATTACTGTCTCGCCAGCTGTAAATTAAATGTATCTTTGGTAAGGAACCAATCATCATCTAGTATGATGTCCATTATCTCATTATTCAGGAAATATACAAAGCACAATGTATCACACTTCACGCTTTATTAACTGGTTTGATAGAGCTAAGATGTTGGTCTATAATGCAAGGGCATATCGGTCTTGGTAATGTGTTCATTTACATACACATTTAAGTTTCATTGTTTTTTTTTTTTTTTTTTTTAGAAAGCAAAAGAGGTTGTGACGGCACCTAAAGAAGCCAAGGCTGTCCAAAATGTTCTTGGTGTGCCAGGATCCACTGAAGCTAACCTGGCACGGCAGAGGCGTTTACAGGAGAGGAAAGAGCTCCTGTCTAAGGGATCGTTGCAGGTAAACCTATTTTACATTTCCTATACATGTCCACTAACTGTTACTTTATTACCTGTATCCATATACAAATGGAACTGGTTTACATGCTTTACTGTTGATACATTATATCCCTTACTTAGGTCAATGAAAAATCCTAGGAGGCCGGAAGCCTCGGCGTCTAAAGAATATTACAGCATTTTTATTTATTTTCTTTTTGTGTATTTTACAGTTTTCTGACTGTGGTAGAAGGAAACCTAGGTGGTTTCGTTTAAATTAAAAGCCTTATCTGGTTTATAGACTATCTAAGGTCATTTGTCAAGTACTGGGCTGTTTAAAAATAATTAGCAAAGACATTTTTATTGGTTGTTTCCTTTAAAGACTGATTATGGCAACTGACTGTTCATTCCTTCTCCACCAAAGTGTTACATTCCAATTAGCCCTATTCTGTCCACACAGTACTGTGCAGTTTCTTGGAATCCATTTTGAGTGGGCATAGGATTTGGCAGCTTATTTGTTGTTATATGTAATATAATAGCCCAATTAAGAGGGAGGATTAGGGTTAAATAGGCCATGGAACCCCACCCCCAATTACATGCATTTTGGCCCTAAAACATATGTGTGTATATGTATTTATATTAAAGGGATCCTATAGTGCCAGAAAGTTTTCCTGGCACTCTATGGTTAATAGGTCCCCCCCCCACTGTGGGGTTGAAGGGGTTAAAAGCCCTTCAGCTACTTAACTAAATCCAGCACCGAAAACCTGTTTGGATTCCGGAAGCCCTCTAGTGGCTGTCTAACAGGGAGGGCAGACTTAGAGCTGCAATGTAAATATTGCAGTTTCTCTGGAAATGCAAAGTGCAAAAGGGTCACAGTACCCAGACCACTTTAATGAGCTGAAGTGGTCTGGTTGCCTACAACGTCCCTTTAAGAAAAAAAGGTAAAGGTTGATTGTAGTTTACATTTGTACAGCTGCCAGGTGGGCCCCAAGTAAGCTGTCATGACATTCTTAAACAGTTTGCCTACTTACACTGGGAGGGCAACAGGGCACACATGGCACCATAATCACTTAAGCGGACTGTAGTAATGATGCTTGGGAACATTCCTTTGAAGCCTTTTTTTTTTTAATTATTTTTTTTTTTATTTGTATTTTTTTTTTTGGGTTACCCTTATTGATGTTTGCTCATTTCTGTGATATCAATATGCCTGTAACTCTCTAAAGCAGGCTTCCCCCAACTCTGGCCCTCCAGATGTTGCTGAACTACAACTCCCATGATTCTCAGCCTATTTCATTCATAGAATCATCGGAGTTGTAGTTCAGCAACATCTGGAGGGCCGGAGTTTGGGGAAGCCTGCTCTAAAGGGATGAACGTCTGAAATGTATTTCTTGCATGTTTCTACAATCCTGAATTCAGAGCATTGAGAAGAAGTCAGAATCAGTAGATGTGGATACTGATGTCCGGTCTGAAACACATAGTGATTCAGGAGATGCACTAACCAGAGTTCTGGGAGCTGGTACCTTAGGTGGGAATGATAAACCAGAGCAGCCTTTTATAGTTTTGAGCCAGGACGAGTATGGCGAACACCACTCTTCGATAATGCACTGCAGGTACTTGGCATTTTATTTACTGACCACCGTTTACTTATTCAGAACTGAAACTATCATGCAAGGCTGGATGATTTCTCATAAAGCATAGTAGACCGTTTCAAAAGGAGACGTGCAGGGAGAATGTCGTACAAGTTTGTGTTTTCCAAATTCAAGGGAATGTAACAAATGTGGTTGGAGGAATGGGAAATCAAAATATGTAACAGCCTGTATACAAATTAAATTCATGGACTAATCTAGCTTATTGTAGTGGTTACCTACCAATCTTTGCACATTTTCTTTATTTCTCCTTAATGACTTACTTCAAATACCATGTCCACTGTTAAATGTGGTGTATGTGGGGAGGGGGTAAGGGGTAGCTAAGCCTGTTTAAGGGGTGAGGAGGAGGCTACTGGCTTTAGACCCATCTAAAGGATAGATAAGGGACCCCTCACACTCTGTAATTTACTGGCCCCATCTAACTGCTGTCTGTGGCCAGTGTTCGAACACAATTCTGGCTCATTCAAGGGTTAACTAGATAACAACCGCAACTATTCAATCTAGTCAATTGACTGCCATCTTCGAATAATTTATGGCTCGTTCAAAGCCAGATTTGCAAACTGTAGACTTTGTTTAATGCTGTGAGCAATGACTGGTTAATGCAGTCTGACTGGCCCTGTACAGAACCAGATGTTTTTTTTTTCTCCATTCCGACTTTGTCAATGTACCCATTACTGTTTGAATTTTACCCTTGGGACCTCCCTCTCTCTGAAACTACAAACCTCCATTTAAAAAAAAAATATATATATTTTTTTTTTTGGTGGAACCCTGCTAAATGTATTTGCATGTGTTATGTCTAATTTCTGCCAGGGTGGACTGCTCAGGGCGTCGGGTGGCCAGTCTGGACGTTGATGGGGTGATTAAAGTTTGGTCTATTGATGGCATCATGCAGACCAAAGCTTCTTCCATATCAAAGTCTGCTCTTCTATCTCTGGAATGGGCGACAAAGAGGGACAGGCTGGTGAGTGTTACTTACAATTAGACCTTAGTATTACATTAACATTGGATTGCATATGAATTGGGCATGGAAGAAAATATCTCTCCTCTAGCACACGTCAGTTTATTGAAGTGGTCTGGGTGCAGTGTCCCAATTGCACTTAGTGCTGCAATGTTAAATGTAACGGATCGACGGGCACCCTGACTGGGTACCTCCATTGAAGGTTGCTCCAAGCACTCCAGCCGACACCATAACCACCCTAGACTCCTCCAGAGTGCAAGGCAGGAACAAGCTCTTACAAGAGCTTAGTAGTGATTTAGCAAGGGAGTATGACAAGCATAGCCATCCCTTGTAGCAGATTCCCCCAATAAGAGACGGCACTCCAAATTGAGGGTGAAGTAGAACTCAGGTTTTTAATGACACACACTCTGCTTTTATGCAATTCTCCCGTGCAAGGGAGACGCCCACAGACAATTATGAATTACCCAATCAAACACTGGTAACATCCCACACATCTCCTCCCCTTAGCCTGAGAGGTAACACAATTCGCCATCTAGTTTAAAACATAGTTTTTACCCAACTTTCATAATTCTAAAACTATACAACCAATATTAATAAAACATTTACAAACATACCCAAAAATCATTAGAATCCGTTCAGCTGTTCGGGAGATAGATATGTCACCTTTGACCGACCGCAAGCACATTTTCATGCCCAAAACAGTTCCAGAGAATCAGGCTGTGCGGCTGGTCTATTTCCCATGTTAAAGTCAGTTTAAACAGACGAACGACAACCATTCGAACTGTCGAATGCATTTTGTTCCAGGGAAGGTAAAACTTCAGCAGTGTTCGTGGCGTTCTGTAGCCTATTTTAGTTCCATGAGTTTGATGGCACACACCGCTGACTGCATTCGAATGAATCAAAATGGCCGCCGCCACGTGTTTGGTTTTCTAATGTCGGCCACTTCGGCTGCATTCAAAGTGCCATGCCAAAAACAGCAGGTCCTTTCCCAAAGTACTTAAAGGGCCAGAAACAGCACAATAAAAATCCATTATGCTCAAATATAATTCTTAAAGGGCCATACACAGTCCAATACAAGTCCATAAGCCCCAAATTCGTTCCTTAAAGGGCAATACATCCCAGGGGCCATTGTCACATGGCAGGAGGCTGGCAATCAGTCTTCTCCAATGCCCAGTGGCAAGGCTGGTTCCGCCACATTTCTCCCCTTTCCATAAAATACTAACAAGGTATCTGACCTCCTGTCGGTCAGTGCCTTGGTTAGTCCAGCAACCCACCCACAAAACATAATCAGCAGTACAGCCCACCCACAATAAATAGTTACTGCACCTGGGGAAATGTGTAGCTTGCCTTTGTCCAGGGGCTCCCCCACGGCTGTGTGGGGTACTGGCACTCTTGATCTGTGGGTTGCTGAGTGGGCAGAGACCAGCGGTACTCTGCCCTGGTGCCAGCGCTTAAGCTTGAGTAGCCTGGTTGGTGCTCAGCTGGGCAAAGGGGGTAGTATGCACCTCTCCCTGGAATCGGTGCTCTGGTGGGAGGGGGAGACCGACTGTCTCCCCTTCCAATAAACGGTCCTGCTGCTGGTGGTCTGGACAGGTTGCCCCGCATCCCTGTGGTTCAGGTACAGAGGTCACGGCCCCGTCTGTGTCATCTGGGAGACTAGAGTCTCCCCTTTGGTGAATAAGCTGCCGCTGGAGAGAGGTGGTAACAGGCTCCTCTCCCTGAACCATATACTGCCGCTGGGGGAGGGGAACTCATGGTCTCCATTCCCAATACATTGTCCTGCTGCTGGGGAGCGAGACCGACTGTCTCTGCTCCCTGTAGGACACTCTTCTGTTAGGGAGTAGGACCGACTGTCCTCACTCCCTATAGTTTGGGCGCAGAGACCACGGCCCCATCTGCACCAGTGGAGAGCGTATTGTCTCCCCTTTGTGTAATAAGCTGCTGCTGGGGAGGGGGAATGAGGCTCTCCCCTCCTAGTATAGGACACTGCCTCTGGGGAGAGGGGGTAACAGGCTCCCCTCCCTGACACAATCTCTGCTGTTGAAGAGGGACTGTCTCCCCTTTCCATAATTTGTCCTGTCGCTGGGGAGAGAGATCGACTGTCTCTGCTCCCTGTAGGACACTCTGCTGCTGGGGAGCAAGACCGACTGTCCCTGCTCCCTGTAGCTCACGCTGCCGCTGGGGAGGGAGGATGCTGCTTTCCTCTCCCTGCAAGGTACACTGCCGCTGGGGATCTGGGTCGACTGCCCAGCGTCCCTGTAGGGCCGGTAGAGAGACCGCTGTCCCATCTCCACCTGCCATCTGTGGGTCTTCCCAGGACCAGTCTATGAGATCCCTCAACATTTGAGAGTAGGGACCACCTGCTTCTGCACTCGGTAACTCCGGCTGCTGCTGGGGATCTGGGCCAGCTTCCCAGCATCCCGGTAGGCCCGATGGAGAGACCTCGGTCCCATCTCCACCTGCCTGTTGTGGTTTCTCACAGGACCATTCTATGAGGACCCCTACTTTGGGTTCCTCTGGCCGCCTCAGGGGGAAGCGGTTAACCTCCTCGAATGCAGCCTCTCTTTGGCTGCTGTAACACTCCTTCTGCTGAGCATATTCTCTCTCTTTCGCCAGCCGGAATTCTTGGTCCATCCTTGCGTTTCGCTTGGCTGTGACAGGTTCCAGATCGCCTGGCATATATCCATGGGAACATTATCACCATAGTGGGCCTCTCGCTGCCTCACCTCGGCCAGCCAATCATCTCCAGAGCCAGAGCCTTCCATACTTGTCTGCTCCAAGTTGCTGGATACCTCTGCTCCCAGAGGCGATGCATGAGTGCTAGCGTTGCCCTCAATTTGTAACTCCACTAACGGTGTCTCCGAGCTGCTTTACCTCGCACTAGGACGCCATCCCACAGCTGCCACCAATGTAACGGCTCGACGGGCACCCAGACAGGGTACCTCCGTTGAAGGATGCTCCTAGCGCTTCCTGAGGGCTCCAAGCACTCCAGCCGACACCATAACCACAGTAGACTTCTCCAGAGAGCAAGGCAGGAACAAGCTCTTACAAGAGCTTAGTAGTGATTTAGCAAGGAAGTATGAGAAGCATAGGAGTATGACAAGGGATTGCCTTTGTAGCAGATTCCCCCAATAAGAGACTGCACTCCAAATTGAGGGTGAAGTAGAACTCAGGTTTTTAATGACACACACTCTGCCCTTATGCAATTCTCCCGTGCAAGGGAGACGCCCACAGACAATTATGAATTACCCAATCACACACTGGTTACATCCCACACATCTCCTCCCCTTAGCCTGAGAGGTAACACACTTAGCCGTACAGTTTAAAACATACTTTTTACCCAACTTTCATAACTCTAAAACTATACATCCAATATTAATAAGTCACATCTTATTAATCTGCATATTTCAAATACAAACATACCCAAAAATCATTCGAATCCATTGAGCCGTTCGGGAGATAGATATGTCACCTTTGACCGACCGCAAACACATTTTCATGCCCAAAACAGTTCCAGAGAATCAGGCTGTGCGGCCGGTCTATTTCCCATGTTAGTCAGTTCAAACAGACGAACGACAACCATTCGAATTGTTGAACTGTCAAATGCATTAGTTCCAGGGAAGGTAAAACTTCAGCGGTGTTCGTGACGTTTTGTAGACGATTTTAGTTCCATGAGTTTGACGGCACACACCGCTGACTGCATTTGAATGAATCAAAATGGCCGCCGCCACGTGTTCGGTTTTCTAATGGCGGCCACTTCGACTACTTCGACTGCATCCAAAGTGCCATGCCAAAACTGCAGGTCCTTTCCCAAAGTACTTAAAGGGCCAGAAACAGCACAATAAAAATCCATTATGCCCAAATATAATTCTTAAAGGGCCATACACAGTCCAATACAAGTCCATAATCCCCAAATCAGTTCCTTAAAGGGCAATACATCCCAGGGGCCATAGTCTCATTGTAAGAGGCTGGCAATCAGTCTTCTCCAATACCCAGTGGTGAGGCTGGTTCCGCCACATTAAACATTGCAGTTTCATAGAAACTGCAATGTTTACATTGCAGCACTAAGTCTGCCTCCACATAGGAAAGCATTGATTCAATGCTTTCCTATGGGAAGGTCTAATGCGCGTGCAGCATGTGCATTAGCGCCCGGTCATCACGGGACGGAGAAGAAGCTGCAAACCAGCGCCGAGGGACATCTGCGCTTGGATCAGGCAAATAAAGGGTTTTTAACCCTTTATTCGTTGACTGGGGGAGGGCAGAAGGAGCTATAGTGCCAGGAATACGGCTATTAACAACCATTAAGTCAAAGTGAGATAGTTCTGAAAAACACTGTGATCTTAAAAGTGAAATAATCTCCAATAGTATTCGCATTGTGATTCTATTTGGTTTCCATGATGACTGTACCAAACATTACCACTTTTAAAACTTTGCACCACTTTTCAGATCATGACATAAACCCTCATCAGCGTGTTTACAGGAGTCTACTATACCATAGCAGGTTGAACACTGGGCTTTGAATTAATATTTTTAGCCTGGTATGCAGTAGCAGAAGAAATGTTTGAAGTATAATTCTTTCAATTGACCAGCAAAATAACTGTGCAGTTACACTAAGCACAGTAAGTGAGCCAAACTCTTTTTCACTGTAGTTAGATCCAATACTAACATTGTTGCTCTTTTCTCCTTTTATTGGCTGGAGCAGCTCTTGCTGGGCAGTGAAGTAGGCACCGTTCGACTGTATGACACAGAAGCAAAGAAGAACTTATGTGAAATTGGAATTGCTGATGACATGCCCAGGTTATATATTTAAAAAAAATAAAAATAATTTCTTGTTGTAAATGAAGACCATAAAAGGTACAAGTGAAATAGGCATACATAACCACAAATATTACTGATCCAAGGCACCGACATGTCACTATCAATCAATGCATAAGAAGAAAAGGGCCAAAACAAAAAATACTGTCCTCCTCCCCCCCCATTGGAGACAAGTGGGGGTTAAATGTCCCTAAACCCCTAGTCACCCCCCCCTCACACCAAAAAACATTTAAAGTACTACCTACCCCCCCTCACCCTAAAAATAGTGAGGGGGGAGACCATAAATCTAAATCCCTGTAAATAAATTAAATCCTTACCATTTGATGTCTTCTTTTTTCTAAAACCTTATTTTTTTCAGCCCCCAAAAAGGTCAAACAAAATACCATAATACCCGTCGAATTTATAAAATAAAAAAAATCAGATGAAAAAGAAAATTCCAGACGCTAAAATAATAATCCATCTTCACCGATGGAGGGCACGGCACAGACTGAGCCTTCCCACGCCCTGCAATTGGGCTCAAAGCGCTCTGATTGGTTAGCTTGAAATCCAACCAATCAGAGTGCTCTGTGTCATTTTACACAGCGTGGGAAAGTTCTTTTCCCATGCTCTGTAATTTGACTCATAACCCTCTGGTTGCTTTCAAAAAGATGGGTGGGGCTGGGGGGGAAGGGACAATAGGTGTTTCCTACCCCCCCATTTTCATTCAGGGCCTCCACCCGCCGCTCATAGGTGGGGGCCAGTAGGGGCATTTAGTAGATTTTATGCTATTATGGGGGTCATATTAACCCTCACTGAGTGAGGGGGACATGGGGGCTTAGGAAGTGGCGGGGAGCTCTGCTTCCTGCCGCTTCTATTTTTACATATTCCAAGGAGGGAGCTGCGAGAAGTTACTTGTCCACCGGAAGCTAGAGCATCCCATCTTGTACTGCCATGATACTAAGGAAAATCTAATCCACGTTAAGTAAAATTTCTGTTTTCTTAAAGCAGAGGTTTATTCACGAAATTCTGATTAGTGGTGAATTAAATAAAAAAATCTGTAGTTTTGTTTTTTCCATTTTTTTTTTTTTTGGTGTGAATTGGCTATTGTTGCCTACATTGTGCAATTTTGTTTTCAATTAACTACAGTTGAGTGTTTAATGAATGTATAAAAATAAACCGGATAACCTGTATAAGTGTGTGTGTATGTATGTATGTGTGTGTGTGTATATGTGTATATATATATATATATATATATATATATATATATAATATATATATAATGTATATGTGTACATCACGTTTTTGTGGTATTATTGTGCCTCAGTAAATCAAAGACTTTTTCTTATACAGTGTGAACTGGTGAATATATTGAAATGGGCTTTTATTCCCTTTTCTTATAGTACCATGTGAATTTGTTTTTTTTTTTTTTTTTTATTTGATTTTTGTTTTGTTTACGTCTAGGCTGTAGTAATCATTTGCAAGCAAATTACATTCATTTTCATTTGGTTATGAATAAAAGGGATATTCTTACCTTTTAGGATACTGTCTTTAGCCTGCAATCCTAGCGGCACATCGTTTGTCTGTTCAGCAGCAGCTGCAAATTCTCCTAGTAATGTGGAGCCAGTGATTCCTGGTTCTGGGGAATATGGTGGAAATCAGGTTGCTGGGAAACTCCTGCTGTGGGATACAAAAACAATGAAACAGCAGGTACAATCCAACTTTGTGGAATAGCTCATCTCTCCTTCTAGTTGGGTGTTACAAACTGCCATTTAGAAATGCAAGAAAATGAAATCATCCCTTTTCTTCTGTCAGTTAAAATAAATATTTTGCCTTGACTAAAGTTTGCTTCTTGCATCAGTTTTGACAAAGCTAGCATTCTTATTGTTCCCCACTGCTTTATTTCACCCTATACATCTAGGTGGCTGGTGGATGGAGAATTCTGCAGCATTAACGCAAGGGGGACAATACAATGTGAGGCAGAGATTTGGAGTACTAAACTAATTAGTCTAAGGACTCCAAAACTATTACACTGCTTGGGGGGTAGAATACAAATATCACCAGAGAGAGAGATTTTACATTTAATTTAATCAATATATGAAATTAAACACAATTAATGTATTAAGGTTAAAATCTACCCCTATCACTTTTCTTGTACAGCATTATTTGGGAATTACTGCTGGAAAGTGACGGTTCTGCAAGGGCTGTGTCGGAACGTTAGTCATTGATGTAGTACTGACAGATACCAAATAGAAATTCACTTATCCTATTGTGTAGACTAAAATGTATTGCTCCAATCACTACAGAGACCTTTATTTCTACAAATTTTGGTGTTTGGGGAGAAATAAAATGATCACGAATTATTTCAGTAGATGAAATTTTCACGCCTTTGATTACAGTTATGTAATAAACCTGCATTCTTAATAAACCGTATAAAGCTTGTGTTTTTACTTTTTCGTTTTTTTTTTTTTGTTTATTTTTTTTTTTAGCTCCAGTATTCCTTAGAACCTGTACCCATAGCAATAAACTGTACCTCTTTCAACCACAATGGGAACCTGCTGGTAACGGGAGCTGCTGATGGGTTCATTCGTCTTTTTGGTAAGTTTGGTTGTTTGTTTTGTTTTTTTGCTTTCCTTCTTCCATAGCTTTGTAGTTGTATTTATACTATGTACACTATTTAAGTGGGCATTTAGGAATTTTGTCCTCTGATATTTGCCTATAATAAGGCCAGCGTGCACCACCCAGAAGATGGTTTCCATTTTTTATTATCATCACTGCTAGCTTCATAAATCTAGAAATCCTAAATACAAACCTGTCCATAGTTAATATTTCAGACATTATGTATGAGTCCAAGGCAGTGCAATACTACAGTGCTTATATTTAGTCTCTTTAGCTTTCCCTATCAAAAGCTCTGTGAATCAATTCTGAGTTATGGCAAATATAATATGTGCATTCTGGATTTACTAACACCATGCCATGCATGGATACTGGAATTCTTGGCTTTATGGGCAAGCGGAGAACAACTCTAGAAGCTAATTTCACATGTGAACATCAAATGTGGCATATACCAAGGTGATGTCATATCCCCCATGCTGTTCTGCATAGACCTCAACACCCTCAGCCAGATCATCATGAAGAGAAGAAACCGGTTCAAGAGTGGAGATACGAGGGGTGCGGGCCCTGACCGCTGAGCTGAGAGGACACAGAACAGAACTGCTCCCGCTCTTCCAGGCAATAATCACTACATACAAGTCACAAACCGTTCTCAAACGACCCTAATGGGTCACCATTTGAGAGGTGATCTCGCGGGGCACACACTCCAAATACGCTGCCATCCCTGCAGGAACCACCGGAGCGACATTTTGCGGCCTACAAGCTTGGTCGGTGCTGGGGAGACTGCCGCTTCACGGTTGCCCCCAAAAGCAAAAAGCTGGCACTTGGGCCCTTGTTCCTCCCCCTATGGACCAGCGGAGGTTATCCCGGTCCCAGAAAGACCCCTACAGGCTTGGAGGAAGCATCCTCAAGTGGCGCTTACCAAGCCCAAAATAGCGGCAAATGCCACTGGGCCACGAGACACAGCACAGTGGTTCGACATTCTAACACGGCTGGATGCCATATTTGCAGCCTTCTGAAGGAAACTGACAGAACAGCAAGCACTTACCGATGGCACCCTCCTCAAGCTCCTGACTACAAAGCACACCTCACAGAAAGAAGCGAGCACGAAAAATAGTGCCGCCGACAGTGACACCTACAGCATGAGTACATACCCACATGGCTGCGACCACAGACGGACACTTTTTCACGCATGAACAAGCCACCTACATCCAAGCACACCACCATATTTTAGCTCAACGTGAGATCCATGGACTTGGCTATCAGAGGTTCCCGAGACTGCTGTCCAGGGCTGCACTCTGTCTCGCAAGCCTGGAGTTGAAGGTATCCCTTGCCCTGCTACACTATAGCTGATCCAAGTCCAAACTCTCCTACTTTACACGGATCGGCTGATCTGTTACTTGAGCACACACCCAGCACTTTAGTCTATGTGGGGGGGCGGCAGACTGGGAGTCAAGCTGTTGAAACAGTTATTTTTCTGTTATATGCCTGCTCTAACAGATCTATTCAGGCCCTATGTATAGCATAATAAGGTGTAGTGTCTCATTACTTCCTAGATGCCTGTAGCTCTATACATTCAGCACCTGGTTTAGCTATAAAGCATGTTACTAAACATGTCAGTCATGTAAACCTATTTCTTGTAAACCTACTTCTAGCTATTGTTATTCATACCTACTAATCTCCTGACCTAATTAGCATAACTCTTTAAAAAATGTGCAGTTCAATCTTATGTCACAATACTGTCCATTTTAAATTGTCTGTAACCACTATTGTGGAGTTACAAGAGTGGAGATACCATACATGGTATACATTTTTACTATACATGGGAAAACCTAAATCTTTATGCCAAGAGTTACCGGGACATAGACTCACTCGTCCACTTAACTAGGATATATAGCAGTGTTGTTCAGACTATATAAGTGTGGGCAGATGACCGCAAACAGAGAGAAGATGATCAGGACTAAAAGAGCTGGTGTGCCAGTTGGCCAAATAGGAGATGTTGAGATCAGCTACAAGTACCCCAGGATACCACAAACACATGGCAACTATTTATTTATTTATTTATTACTGGTATTTATAAAGCGCCAACAGATTCTGCAGCGCTGTACAATTAGTGGAGGACAGACAAATACAAAAGCTAGTGAGGGCCCGTAAGTTGATATCTAGCCATTTAAGCTCTTTTATACAAAGTGCTTAACTATGAGGAAGAGGCAATGAGCACAGAACATCCAAGTGCCTCCAGAGAGCCAGACAGGTCCTGAAGTCCCAGCTGAATGGCAAGAACAAGGTTCACTCAATCAACACATACACCCTACCAGTCATCAGGTGCCCAGCTGGAATAATAACCTAGGCAAGAGAAGAGCAGGACACCATAGCCATCAAGACCAAGAAACTACTCCTCATGAATGAGGATTCCACCCAAAATCCAGCTCCCAGAATGTACACCAGCCAGAAGTAAAGAGGTTGGGGTCTGATGAGTGTCAAAGCCATTGTTCTGGATGAAACCCAGAGCATTCACATATACATCACAAAAATAGCCCCCAAAGAGAAACTCTTAATTAAGGGAATGCTACAATGGATAGAGGATGCAGAAAAAAGGTGTAATGGCAAGATAAATCTCTCCATTGAATGTTCCACTGGAGATAGTAAATGTGGCTCATATTCTGAAATCCTAGCTGTGGTTGGGAAAAGCAGGACTGAAAGATGGTACTATGGCACTAATCCTAGCAGCAGAGAAAAAGGCTAACACCACCAGATCAATAGAAGTGTGAAGTCTAACTTACCAGACAGGAGCCATGGTGCAAACTGTGCATAGACGCCTCAGAGACAGGTCAGCAGATACTGTTATGGATAGAAATTAATGTTAGTAAAATGTCTATTTACTTAAAATGGCTGCTAGAGAACCCCCTCCGATCGACTAAAGAATGTAAAGAATGTCATGTATTAAGATGGTGTCTTCCAGGGAGAGCTGCACCCAGGATGATTGTGACATCACACTTTGGAGGAAGGGCATTCGATAAGACACTTGACCAATTTAAAGATGTATTCTCTCTGTTATCTTGCTTTCTGCATATGATGTATTTCTGGCCTTTATAAGGGGCTCACCGCCCCCCTGATTAAATATTCTGACATTTTTCATTAACCTGAAACCTGTGTCTCAGTGTGATTTACTTCAGAGCGTGCACATTTTCTATTTTAAGCAATTTGGACAGGAGCAGACACTCAGATAATCAAACACTTGGTTTGATCCACAACAATACTAGTTGGAGTAACTAGTAAAGGCAGTAATTTTCATAAGAGCACTTGGGGGTGTAACCCTCAAGTGGAAAGTGGGTACAACAGATACCAGGTGGGACATCTGAGATCTCTGTCCAGAAGAGTGCATTGCTAAGAACCCTCAGAATCCAACTCTGGTAGAAGACCTGAGAATGGAGAATACACAAAAAACACCACCTGGAGGGATGAGACAGTCAATATTTCTGTATATAAAAAGACATCCAGATAGTAAATAACCGTTGGTCATCTGCAGTGGTTAGAACGAGGCCAGTATAAAGATTGTTGTCCTCTTATGTAACTTTTTAAAATATTTAAAACAAATGGGCCTTGAAAGGTGAGTCCCTAACTATAACCCTAAGATCCTGTAATAACACACCACTATACTTTACAGGATCCAATGAGATGTATAGCTGTTGAATAAAAATGTCTTGTTAAAGTCCCCAAATGACTTAACACCACAAGCAAAGAAGATAGATGTTTATTTTGATTACTCTTCAAATGTTCTAAGATCATAAACCTCTGTGTATAACCACTCACACCAAGCAGAGCTGCCCCCAGGCTCTACACAAAGAGCTCCAGGGTGCCTACATAGATTATGGATCTTGTCTCAAGGGTAGTTATATACAGGAAACTGTCTCCAATAGGAATTATAATCTTTACTTGCCACAGTGTGACAAATGCATACAAAAACAATCAGGCAACCATCGGTGTTGTCAGAGCTTACCTGAGTTGGGAGTCCAGCAGGCAGAGATGTATGCTCACCCTTGCAAGTAAACACAGGCCAAGGTGGTAAGGCAAAAATTCACCTGGCCTGTGAGTTGGTGCACGGGGGCTGTGCAGGATAATTCTCCAAGTCGCAGTACAGGAACGGAAAAAGCAAGAGAATCGTCGTGGGAAGCCAAAAATCAGGATGCCAGAAATCAGAATAAACTAAACAAGCCAAGGTCAAGAGTAAACTGGAGAACACGAAACAGCAGTATGATCACCAGAGTCAAGGAACTGACACTGCCTTCTGGGAGAGGCAGTGTTTTATACCTGGCTAACGAGACCATCAACATCAGGTGTACCATGAGAGACAGGAGAAACTTCAATGCATGTCCAGCCCCCAGTGCTGGATACTGGCATACTAAAGCTGAATGGTGGCTCAGAGGTAGCATAGCAGGCCCAGGACTGCAAAGTACCCAGGTTCAAATCAGCTACTGGGCACTCCTGGGGCAACCTCGTTTGGCACTCCGGAAGTTACGGTGGGAACCGTGACAGTACCCCCTCCTCAAAGCCGCCTATAGTCAAAAAAAAAAGCAACTGCGGCCTAAGAGGTGACTTTTTAGATTTCTTGGTCCTGGCATTGCCAGCAGGAGCGGAGGACATAACTTGAGCGGTCTTGATGGCTAGCAGTGCCCTTTCAAAGTCATGCAAATGTTCCGAAACCACTAGAGTCCCATCAGATGCACAAGTGTAGCCAGGAGGAGGATCTTTCTTCACAGAACAATTCACATTTTCAGGTACTACTGGAGATAGGTTAGGGTTGACAACTGATTTGGTGCAAGCGACAAGTACCTTGATCCCAGGAGTCTTATTCGCTGAACCTTTTTCCTTAGGTACATTACCAGGAGCAGAGTTTGTGGCTTTCAAAGCTTTTTCAAACATCACCAAATCTGTTTTGCAAACTATGGTACCATTGGAGGCATAGGTACAGTCCGTAGGTAACTCCTCTTTAGGTTGACAGGAAGTGGTATTGGTACCAGCTTTAACATGAGTGTCTTCCGGCGGAGGTTCAGACTTCTCAGGAGTACTGGGTAGGTTATTCACCATAGTCTGAGTACCCTCACAGAACGGGGACATGGCTGGCAGCTTCTAGACAGTGTTTCTGAGATGACTGGATAAGTCTGTAGGGCACCCAATAGAAGAGGTCTTTGCCTGCGTGGACGAATAGGGCAGAGAGATGAAATGCCCTCTTTCTCCACAGTATAGGCACAAGCCATGGGCTCTCCTACGGTCTTTTTCCTTTAGAGGCAACCTAGTCCTGGTAAATCCGATCCCCATAGGTTCCTCCCTGTCCAATGATGTGCTATTGCTAGCTGGAGTACACTCAGGGTAACAGGACAGGTTCCTGGAAGTGGGTTCATGCTGGAACGAGATGGGAGCTTGATAAGTTTGTACATAGTCTTCTTTAGGTAACCAAGCTCTGCTGGTACTTTGAGCCGGTTTGGGAGTTTCCTTCTTAGAAGCCAAGCACTGTGAGTCCATTGCCGACATAAACGACTCCCAAGTGTCAAAGACAGTACTATTCTCTTGCAGCTTCTGATATGCCCACGCCTTAATACGTCCAGAAAGTACATTGATAGCAGAACGGATCTTGATAAAGTCGGTGACTTAGGTTCTGGGTTTCAAGGCAAACAGGAGTTCACAGTCCATCTTGAAAATCGAGAAAGTGGAACGAGAACCGTCGAACCTGTCAGGCAGTATGACATAGGTTTCTGGATAAGCAGGTTCCGGGGCTGGGCGTACTGTGCCTTTAAGAAATAAAATTTCTCGCTGCAGCTCCGAAACAATCTGGGCCAGGCTGGACACTTGCTGGGATTGGGGTGAGCACATCTCTGCGGACTCCAATGGTCAGTTCCTTATTTCAGGGCTTACCTGAGTTGGGAGTCCAGCAGGCAGAGATGTATGCTCACCCTTGCAAGTAAACAAAGGCCAAGGGGCCCTTGCGTAATGTTAGGAACCAGGAACCAGACAGAGACAGAACTAGATGCAAAAACAACTTTATTAATAAATAACCAAAAGCAAAGTCCAGGAGGCAAGCAGGGGCAGTCACCAGAGCGGGAAGTCAGACGAGCCAGGATCAGGAGAACGGAGAGCAGCGAAGTCAGGAACAAGGCCAGAGTCAGGAACCAGGAAACACAGGAACAAGGAGACTTCTGGGGAACAGGAGACCACGCAAGGGCAAGGAGGTACTGAGATTTGCTGCTTAAATAAGGTGCACTGATTAGCAGCAGAGTTGATTACTATTCTCAGGTGAGTAACCGTGGCAACATACTGAAGGAGCTGATCGTTAATCTCAGCTGAAAACTCAGACATTGAAAAAGGAAGGGTTGCTGTTTAAAACAGCAAAGAAACCCTGACAACTGTACTATGGTACAAATAAATAAATGCAGTTTCTTTATCAAAGAGGATAAAACACTGTACATTCATCGTCCTGATATGCCCATAAGTTCCCAATTGCTATTGTCCACAAAGGCCCCTAATATCTAGTTCATGGCCTGTTCAAATCCAGACTCCCTGCAATGCCCACTTCCTTCCATCACCTGTAAAATACTTCACATCTGGCCTTGCAGAATTCACGCTCTTTACAATGGGCTGTTGAAGTCTTCTTTTGTTGAGCAATGTCCTTTCCAAAGAAACAGAACCAGAATTTCTTCATCCTCGACAAACCTCAGGCCTGTCCATATTACATAAGGTCAACTTGTACTTGTTTTATGTTATTGCCCTCAATGTCTTCAGGGAGGAGGAACTTTTGCATAAAAACATGAAATAGAACAGCTTTCCCATTATAAACTGCATTATTTTTTATTTATTTTTTACAAGAAGTCCCTAGAGTGCAATTTATTTTTAAAGTGTATTGTCCACTTAACGTTACACCGGGCTGTACGCTAAAAAAAAATGTGTGTGTGTGTGTGTGTGTATGTATATATGTGTGTGTGTGTGTGTGTGTATGTGTGTATATATATATATATTCCAATCTCTGTCACTCACCGTAAAGCAAACAATAGGTCTCCATGTTATTTCCCCGTTTTACTGAACTATTTGCAGAATGGCCGGCAACCCAGCGGGGAAGTGTGCTGCTTAACCTCTTGGCCTCATTCGAACGTTGTGGTTAACCGCAGACACTTCCCCTTGCTAATGGTCGGCTGGGTGGTCGTTGTTCGTATGAACGAACACGAGGTGGCGGCCATCTTGGACATGCGAACACCCAGCGGTATTCGTCGACGATTTCGTGAAACTAAAAACGGCTACTATTTTCATATGAACACCGTTGAAAGCCGCCGACCTCCCTTCATCTGTTTCCTCTTCATACGAACACTGTCCGTTCGGTACATTTTCATATGAACGGAGTCACCCCAGATAGCTATCCCATGGAACCCATTCGTATAACGAAAAGACTATGTGAAAGACTTTGGCTCCATGGCGATTTAACTGTATGTATGTGATCTGAGCGCCATTCGGTAATAATGTGCGCTCAGATCTAAGCTATCTGGGGATGCGTTAAATGTACCTATTTCATTCAGTAGTTTTTATATTATATATTTTTATGTGTTTTTATTACCATGTGTAAAATTGAGTTTTGCCTCTATCCTCGGAGATAATTGAGTTGCTTCCCAATTATCTCCAAGATAGAGAGGAGGGTCCTATACAGCTAAAGGGGAGTGATTATGTTTGTAACCCTGTGATTGGCTGCTGTATCATTATTGTCACAGTTTTCCACCAGGTTCCCTAAGGGAGTGTCCACGTGGTGGGAAACCTGCATAAATACCAGGCAGGTAGCCCACATTCAGGGCCGTCATCAGGGCATGACAACCGCAACGGTTGTCATGGGCCTGGGGGGCCCGGACTGCTCAGGTCGTCCGGGCCCCACATTCAGTGGGTACATACCGGGTCGCAGGGGGCCCTGCGACCCGGTATGTACCCACAGGGCCAGCCTGTTCTCCTGGGGGGCCCAGCAGCCGGTCACCTCAGGGTCCCCCAGAGGCTGGTCCTGCTGACACCCGGCAGGCGCGCGAGGGAGCACTCTCTAGGTGCTTCCTCTTCAGCTCCCTCGCGCACCGTACTGATGCCGGAGCCAGAAGATGACGTCAACTTCCGGCTCCGGCATCAGTACGCGGCGCGCGAGGGAGCTGAAGAGGAAGCACCTAGAGGGTGTCGGGGGGAGAAGAATGAAATTCGTGTAAAGGGCCCTCAAAAAAATGGAGCTGCTTCCCGTTCTCCCAGAACAGTGATTTTTGTGACCACAGTTACAAACCGCCTCCAGAGAGCCTGTTGTACACCAGACCAGTGGAGCCAGATGGCAGCCAGAGCCCATCATCATCCTCATCTGGTTGTAAGTAGGCAATCTAGTATATTATTCGTGGCACTAATCTCTAATTTACCTCACATTAAAGGGACACTATAGTCCCCAGAACCACTGCAGCTTAATGTAGTGGTTCTGGTGTCTAGCCTGTCCCTGTAGGCCTTTTAATGTAAACACGGCGGCACTGCAGCACTGGTGTTAGTTAACATGGCAGATCATATGGGTGGGGCATTGTGATGTCACATGGGGAGGCGGCAAACTTTACTTTTGCCTAGGGCGGCAAAAATCCTTGCACCGGCCCTGCAGACACTGCATCCCTGTGGGCGGATTCGGGGGGGGGCAGCACTTTGTGCGGACTCGGGTGCAGGCACCGGGGGGCCCAGACCTTGAGCTGTGTCAGGGGCCCCAACATTTCTGATGGCAGCCCTGCCCTCATTAAACCATTGTTGGGTGAGATTCCTGCTTGACCCTCAATTCAGAGCCTCGTCTCGTACTTGGGGGATAATTTTTATGGTTTTCCTGTTCGACTGTTTGGAATATGGATTTTGTATGATTGCTTGTTCGGCTGATTGGTGTGTTCGGTAGCTGCCTTTGTATTCGGGAAGGGAATATTTCAAACGGCTTAACCCATGCTATACTAGGGTGCCGTTACATAGGTAAATAAACTGAGCACTCCAAAGGATTTTTTAAATGTGTAATGAAAAAATCCGAAATCAAAGTTTTGACCCTCTCGGGTCTTTAGCACGATTTGTGTGTGTATATATTTGCTCTTTTGAATTTTTATAATACATAAATATTTTATAATCTATGAAGAATAAGGGGCTGCTAAAAACCTGCTACTTTATAAATGACATGCAAATTTGCAATATGGATAGAAAAATAGATGTATTCGAACACTAGGGGACTCCTACTCTATCAGATTTTCATAAATTTACCTATAACAATAAATAATAGTATAAAGTTTGTCCATGTATATATATTTTTGTGTCATTTTGTTGTTTTTATATATTTATGAAATATTGTTCTAAATATTTGATTGTTCTCCAGCCTGTTGGCCAATTTCAATTTCGGTTTAATAGGACATTTTTGGTATTGAGAGACATCTGGCTGGAAATATCCCCTTGTTAAGAGTTGTGCACTAAATACATTGACAAAAATAATTAATTAATACAATGTTAAACAAAAATCTGCGCACCAGTCAAGCCTGGAGACTTGTTTTTTTCTCACAGAAAACACAAATTTGCAGTGATGTTACTACCGCAAAGGATTCTGGGTGGGCATATGCATTTTAGTTCAACAAAGAATCAAATTTTTGCCTCATTCCATTTTAACCCCTTCAGGACGGAGTCAATAGTGCACGTTCTGATCAAAACAAAACGTAAACAAAAACTGGAATTTGCGCTATATATCTGTTCAACCGTAAGTCACCGCTGTCACATTAAGTGCACCCACACTTATTATATATCATTTTGTTCAGGAGAAACAGGGCTTTAATTTATCATCAACTATTCATATATGGAAGCTAATTTATTATGAATACAATTTTAAAAAAATGTGAGAAAATAAGATATTTTATTTTTTATTTTATTTTTTTAAATTTGTATTTCCGTCTGACATTTTAGCTGTGAATGTCATAATACTGTTAGGTTTTCCTGCAAAAAAAAATGCACATATTTGTAATCAGCGATGTCTCACGAGTACAACAGTACCCCCCATTAACAGGTTTTATGGTGTATTGGAAAGTTACAGGGTCAAATATAGAACGTTCCATTTTCAAATTGAAATTTGCCAGATTAGAAATGTTACGGTGTGGTAGCCCAGGAATGAGAATTACCCCTGGCTACTAAGAAAGACTGGACATGCCCCACATGCAATACCTTGGGTTGTCTACTTGTGCAAATGGTATGCCATCATGGGGTTAATTCTCATTCCTGGGCTACCATACGCTCTCAAAGGCAACATAACCAATCTGGCAAATTTCACTGTCAAAAAAATTAAATGCAAGCCTTAAATGTGACTCTCTAACTTTCCAAGACACCATAAAATCTGTACATAGGGGGTACTGTTTTACTCAGGAGACTTCGCTGAACTCAAATATTAGTGTTTCAAACTGGTAAATTGTATTACAATGATGATATTTTAAGTAAAAGTGAATTTTTGTGCATTTTTTACAAACGAACGGCACTTTTATGGACTATATTATTGTTGTAATATGTTTTACTGTTTTAAAACACTAATATTTGTGTTTAGTGAAGTCTCCCGAGAATAACAGTACCCCCAAACACAAATATTAGTGTTTTAAAACAGTAAAAAATATTACAACAATAGGGGGGGCGGGGCCTGACAGCTAACATGGCCGGTCGCACATTTTATGAGCTCCTGCAGCACTGGACAAAAGAGTAACGATACCGACCGATATACAAGCATTAGCGGCAAACAGGGACCGGTACAAGACGCACAACGGCATCAGGAACAAAATGATTTCTGTCCGGCACCAGTGCGCCGCGGAAAAACTGAAACTGACCATGCGGCCTATGCTAGAGCGGAGCCTGAGGACCGGGGGAGTCGGCCGATCTCCTGGCGCGGGACACGCTCCTGAGCCCATTACAGCTCTGCTACCCCCCCCTTTGGACCGGTGGGGGACATCCCGGTCCTCGCTGGGGACGATTACCCCCACATATACACTCGATCAAGCGACAAAACCCTCAATCAAACGGGACCTCATAGGCCCAGCCAAGATGGCGGCGCGGACGAGGGCTGGGACCCAGCACACATGCGTTAAGCCACCCAAGCACACAGGGGTTTTCATTGACCGGCTACGCACCTATTTCTGGGCACAACTTAAAGCCCGGAGACAACCCTACAGGCTGGCGATGAGGGAGGTAGCAGCGTGGATACGCCCGACCACCCGACGCATCTTACAATGGAACCCCCCTCGCAGAGCCGGAGCGGCCTCCAGACAGCATCAGAGCCGAAGCCCAGAGGGGCGAGAGACAGTGCCGGGTCCCTCAAGAGCCGAAACTCACGTGCACAAGCACAGAATCAAGGCCCAATCTACTCCTCATTCAGTGGTCCCAACAACCAAGGGCCGACACATTGCGTACCGCAAAACGAGATGGCGGGAAAAGGCGACATATCCCTCGGGCACCGGCACTCCCTCTCAAGCACGATGTCTCCGAGAAGCAGGTACCCGCCGGCGATTACACAAAACTGAGCCCTACCTACCAGCGGCACCAACAAAGGCCTCTCCAAGCCAGCTCCCCTCTGCTCGGCACAACACGACCCAGCTCCATGTGACCAAGGCCGCAAAGCGAGAGTCCGAGCGGCTGCACGGCAAGCGACCTCCCCACAGACAGGGTATTGGGTGAAGAAAGGCGAAGACCTGAGGTGCCTGATGGCACACCGCAGCGAGGCTGCTGGCACGGAGGACATTGCAGACCATATTCAAAGTGATGAACTCCTGCTCCTCATTGACTTGTAAATTCTGACGTACACTTTTACAATTACTTACGGCGAAAGCACACACAGATTGCCAGTTAAGCTCATATGCGATATTAGTTTATGAAGCAATGCTACTTTAATCATAAGCATGGCTTAGTGCTGCTTCTTGCCCTTCTGAGCCCTGCAGCCTATGTTGGTACACTATAACATGTCTATCACTAGCCCAGCAGGTCCTACGTAAGTAAGACCCACGATCACTCTATTGTCACGGTACAGTCCCTAGCTTACCTAGTACTATGCCTATAAGCCTAAAGATCCAAACCTAACTACAGCACCAATACAGACTGGACTTGTATGTCTGAGATAGTTAGGGCAGGCTTGCTTTGCATTTAATAGCGTGGTATGCCAATATAGCCAACAACCAGAACATAATTCATACTATGCTAAGGTGTAATTAGGAAATGTACCTTGTACCGGGGCCAGCTTGTTCGTGCTATTGTTGTATCCTTGGGCTCAGTGGTATAAATATTTTGAAGTTTATTTATAGTTCTATATCTAAACAAGTCTTTTTCATTGAACTGGGAACAACTAAACTCATATTGCACTGCCTAGCCGTGCAGGTTATTAGTTAAGCATCCACACAACGCATAGATTTAAATCACAGCTGAGATCAGGTCTCCCTTCTGGCAATGCCACACATTTGACTCCACTGTCAGCATGTCCATATTTTCCTATCTCCCACTGGAATCGTGTTTCTCACTAACTGGGGGGCCCCCTAGGGGTTAAACTCGTAGAAAAGACATCGGTTTCACTCTCTTTGTAAAATACTCATGTCATATAAATCCCTGTTTTAAGCTTGTATACTCTACCTTTTATTAACGTCTCTAGCCTGCAATTTTCTAAGTTTTATAATACAATCTATGATTCAGCCTGTTTTTTTTACACTAAAAAAGTGCAATTGTTTCAAATGTCATGGCAATATATGCAAATGTTTGACCATAATAAGCCCGCGGATGCTGTCGTGGCCATGTGAGCTTGTATGGTATTCTTTTATTGCACACTAAAATAAAGAATTTAAAAAAAAAAAAAATATTACAACAATAATATAGTCCATAAAAGTGCCGTTCGTTTGTAAAAAATGCAAAAAACTTCACTTTTACTTAAAATGTCATCATTGTAATACAATTTACCAGTTTGAAACACTAATATTTGAGTTCAGCGAAGTCTCCTGAGTAAAACAGTACCCCATATGTACAGGTTTTATGGTGTCTTGGAGAGTTACAGGGTCAACTATAGTGCTTGCAAATTAAATTCTCTGCACTTTCTCCCTGTGTTGTCAGGCATGCCAATCAAATTTTAATTAATCAAATCACATAATTATGTTAAAAGATTACTTAAACATAATTTTAATATATATGCATTTATAGATATTAAAATTCTACGTGTATACTAATGTAATCTTTTATGTAATTATATGTATTTATCTATATATATTTGCGGTTATTTGTATTTTATATATCGATAGAAATAGAATGTCATTCTAAGTGTATTTTGATATATATATAATTATATTAATAACAAAATACAGTTAGAATGAAATTACATATGAATATATAATTTATATTAAATTTTATTTATTATTGTAATTATACGTATTTATATATATATATATATATTGTGTATATATCTATTATATATATATGTAACATCATTCTAAGTGTCTTTTAATACTAATATTTACTTATATTAATAGTAAAATACATTACGTATGACGTGTGTGTGTGTGTGTGTGTGTGTGTGTGTGTGTGTGTGTGTGTATATATATATATATATATATATATTTCTATTTCAATTTTAAACATGTCAAATGCTTTTTTTTTACACTACCCACAGCAGGGGACTGTCTGACATTTCAGACAGTCCCTGCTGGCAGATCCACAGCCAGCTATGGGGGCTGCCTGGGCCAGAAGAGGATTGCGGCAGAGTTGAGTAAATCTCACCTCCTGGGGCTGCAAGCCATTACGGCGTTCTATGCCGCCGCAACGGCCTTAAAGCCCATTTAATGCGGGACGGCATAGAACGCCGTAACGGCGTTAAGGGGTTAAACATGGATTCCTTTGAGTCTGTGTTTGTAACACAACTTTGAAACACAACTTAGGAAAAAGATGCAAAGCCAGTGAACCACTCATGGACAGCTGTTTCATTGTTAATGCAAATCATCAGCATGAGGTTGGTTACTGGCTTGCTAGTGTGGCTTGGTAGTGCTTGGGAAGCAAAAACCAAAAAGGTTATGGGGTGGGGGGAATTGGGATTCAAATCCCCTTCCATCTGAAGTCTGTGGAGAGTTAATACAATGTTAAACAAAAATATGTAGATATTGTCCTTGACATAAATATGTAGATAAATGCAAAATCAATATACTAAAATGTCTCTTACAAGCTGTAGTGTTTGATACTGCTTACTTGGCAGGAGCATTGAAGTTTCGCAACATTTTCAATCTGTTCTACCCCGTACAAATGTATCGGTAAACCTCTGAGTATGTATACTTGATGTGATGGATCATTACATCTCACAAATGTTTGTACTAGTATTTTATTTATTTATTCCTCGCCTCAAATATTTGACATTGGCAAGTTTTAAAAAATAAATTAAAACTACAGAATATACTGTGAACAGTCAGAAATATTGGAAAATGTCTAATGCAGTACAGCAACACATTATGTGCTTTATATGAAGATGGCTATAGGTTGGTTTACAAGGGTGATTATCCTATTAGCTGATATCTCTGACCATTTGTTTAATCTAGACATGCAGCAACATCAGTGTGCCATGAGTTGGAGAGCTCACAAAGGAGAAGTCTATTCCGTAGACTTTAGTTATGATGAAAACGCAGTGTATAGCATTGGTGAAGATGGGAAGGTAAGCTGGCAGAGAATCGCTTTTGTGTACAATGTCCATGTAATACATATCATTGAAAGATTTGTACACATGTATAACATACTTTTTTTGTTTTTTTTTGTGTGTTAATTTCTAGTTTATTCAGTGGAATATCCATAAAAGTGGACAGAAAGTGTTGGAATATTCCCTGCCTCCTGATGCAACTGGTCCTTTTATGCTATCTGGTTACAGTGGATACAAGCAGGTCCAGTTTCCCCGTGGCAGACTGTTTGCATTTGACTCTGAAGGGAACTATATGCTGACATGTTCGAGCACAGGGGGAGTCATTTACAAGGTGCGCATTGCTTCTACTAGTATACGTTTCTTCTCTATACATTTTGTTCCTGGAAATTAAAACTCAATGTGTACTTCTTTATTGTGTTCAGCAAAAAAAAAAAAAAGAATTCTCTAGTAGTTAAAATGTAATTATGACATTTCTTTTCATAATTTCGATTGTTGAAAAGTGTATGCTCTTCAAAGTGTCACGTTTGTTAAACTATTTACCTTTAAAAACAAATAGTAACATGGTGGTATGCTGTCAGCTTAATGTTAACACTACATTAATTAAGAAACTGCAGCAATGTAATATTTTAAAAAGCTGTCACTTACCAGGATGTTTGATATTATGTTTACTAATCACTGTATTAAAAACATTTATTTGTGAGGTCTGGATATGTAAAATTAAAAGTTGAAATCTACCCCTCTTTATCCTACAACAAGACAACTCCGCCTTAGCTCCCTGCCAATCGTAGTTATAAGCGTTGACCTTTGTACCTAGAAGTTGGCATAGAGAAAGCTTACAGAGTCAGGAGAAATGAAACAATGTTTCTATTTCTCCTCTCCATTTGCAATACTTGCCTTGTCTGAACTGGATTGTGATGTCATTGCTAAATCTTTAATATAACTGTTTTTAAAGAAAACTGAGCATCTCCTGAATAAGAGTTAAAGAGACACTATTGGAAACCAGACCACCTCAGCTCACTAAAGTGGTCTGAGTGCAGTGTCCCTTTTGCACTTTGTGTTTACATTGAAGCTCTACGTCTGCCTCCAGTGGCTGTCTACCAGACAGGCACTGGAGGCTCTTCCTGCATCCTAACGGACCTTTGATCCGGTAAATGACGCTGGACGTCCTCCTGCTCTGCATGTGGACATACACCGTTCATTTGTTCCCCATAGGAAAGCATTGATTTAAACACAAAAGCAAAAAAAAAGATATCTGCCATACACACCTTTAATTAAATTCTTAGGGTGACCATGAAAGTAAATGTATATTTCCTGGGAAAGGCAAAATCAGATCAATTAATTAAAAATAGTACTGCTTCTTTCTTTTTAAGGGGACACTATAGTTGCCAGAACAGCTACAATTGAATGTAGTGGTCCTGGGGCATGTAGCCCTGCAGGCTCAGCATTGTACTCGCTGCCTTTTCCAAGAAAAAGCTGCGTTTACAAGGCTGTTTAAATCCACTTCTAGTTGCAGCCTGGAATGCTTTGCATGGAGATGCTGAACACTCTCCATAGAAATGCCTTGAATCCGTGCACTTATAGGAGGAGATGCTGATTGGCGCAATAAGGTGATTTCCCGTGCAAGTGCAGCAGCCCACCAATGCTTCTCTTTGGGTAAGCATTTCCTTGAATTAGATCATCTGCTGACAGACCAGCACAACGGAGAAAGTTAGAGAAGTAAATCTTACCACCTTACTTTATTTTGGGGGGCTGGAAACCAAACCAGTAAGTTGGACACTATAACAGGAATACATGTTTGTATTCTTAAAGGGACACTATAGTCACCCAGACCACTTCAGCTCAATGCAGTGGTCTGGGTGCCAGGTCTCTCAGGTTTTAACCCTTCACATGTAAACTTAGCAGTTTCTGAGAAACTGCTATGTTTACATAGCAAGGTTAATCCAACCTCTAGTGGCTGTCTTCCTGAAGGGGATTTAACCCCTTCAGCCAAGCGGGAGGGGGACCCTGAGGGTGAGGGTCTCCCAAGGATGAAATAGTGTCAGGAAAATGAGTTTGTTTTCCTGACACTATAGTGATCCTTTAACAATATAGTGCGTCTTTTCTATAACAGGCATAGCTTATTTGCAGTTTAACCCCTTAAGGACCAAACTTCTGGAATAAAAGGGAATCATGACATGTCACACATGTCATGTGTCCTTAAGGGGTTAAAAAAAACAAACAAAAAAACCACAGCTTTGCAGATCAACTCAGAGCTTTTGTCATTTTATCTTCTATGGATTTACATATAACCGTGTGAAACTGATTTTTGTGGCAAAAAAAAATAATTACATAGCTGCTCACGGTAGAAATAGACTTTTAAAAAAAGTTTTGGAACCCCTAAATTGTTTTCTAATTTTTTTTTTTCCTGTTACAGCTCAACAATGGTGGTGGTATGGAAAGCTGCCTCTCTCTGGGGGGCCATAAGGCCCCTGTGGTCACTGTGGATTGGAGCACAGCTGTAGAATGTGGTACTTGCGTGACTGCTTCGATGGATGGGAAAATTAGACTAACCACTCTCTTGGCACAGAAATCCTAACAGAGCCATGTCCAATTCAGTTTGTGAATCAAGCCTGAAAGATCAGTAAAGTGCAAATTTCTCTAAAAACTAATGAATTCTTGGACTTCCTAAAACCATTTTGAGGATTTATATGTAGCAATCTATTTTATGCACATGAAGAGATCCATTTTGTTATCGAGATCCTGGAGTATATTTATTCCACAAGATTAATCCAGGACATTGCCAATTCATATTCCAGTGCAGGTACGTCTTGATCACCACTGTTCCAAAATATGCTCTAACATCTTTGATGTGGAAGAGGACAATTAACTTCTAAATACTACTATTTGAACAGCACCAGTGTAGAACTTGGCATTCTGGTAGACTTCATAGGGTGATCTTATGGAGTATTTTGTTTCATTTATATTGGGTACCACATACATTCTGAATGCAGAAAATTAGCCAGGTGCTCAGATACCAACTATGCTTAGCAGACCACATTGGCTGTAGTATTCATCAGCCCAAATGCATGAACAATAGAAAAATCAAAAGAAAGAAAAAAGTTACATGCGCACTATCCTGTGTAGGTTTTTGGTAGGCTATTAAAGCGTAAGATCACCTACCTTACACCAGTGATGCTAAAACCATTCTGAATAAATGTACATGGAGATTTGGAATAGTATTCATATAACCTTTAAAAAAAAAAAAAAAAAAAATATATATATATATATATATAATTTTTTTTAATTTTTTTTTTAAACTACTACCAGTTCTTTGCAAAGGCTTCCAGATGAATAAAACATGCAAATGTGTGTTAAATTCGCAACCATTTTTGAAAGAGGCTTTCCAGAAACGTTTTTTTTTTGTTTTTGTTTGTTTTTCTTTTCTGTTCTGGGTTCACTTTGGACTTCTTTTATTTTTATTTTTTAAATATATTTTGTGTTTTAAACCACGATATCCATGTATCTATAAGTCAAAGCCTTGTGGATTAAAAGTGTAAATAAGGGTTTAATGCGTCCATACAAATTACATAGTAGTCATCTTACCCATGAAAATGGAAGCACTGTCACTAATTGCAAAATTGTGCAGCCACATAATGACAAGATTTTTATACCATCCTGCACTTTTTATTTAACTCTATAAACTTTATTTGATTATGTTATGCAGTAAGTGCGTTTAAATTCAAAAATGTATCCTGTGCTCTTATATACAGTAATATTAAAGGGTTACTCCAACCAAAACAGTGTTTTAATAAAACGCCTAACAGAAAAAACAAAAAAAGTAACTCTAACCAAAACCAGTGGTTACCCCCCTCCCTTGATCCCCCAAGTGAGAAAATAACAACAAAAATAGACATTAAAACTTATCTCCATTTATATCTGAGTTTAAGTTCTCCCCTATTTGGCTTGTGTTGCTCCCATCTCTGTATGGGGAAAGGGGGGTCTTTGCTGCCATTGGCTGTGCGTGTTGGCATCAGATGTAAATTTTGCACAGAATTGACAATAGCCAGCCCGGAACTTTGTTCCTAGCTGGCGTATGACACTGCTGAAGGTGGAGTTGTATCTCTGGCAGCTAAGGGTTTACTCTCTATATGTGAAGCATTTGAAAGTGAAATGCACATACAGCCTCCAGGCACCATGGACATTTGAAATCACTAAAGTGATCATGGCACTGGAAGTAACCCTTTAATATTGCTGTCCTGTTATTGCCAGAAACTTTGGCTTTAATGAAATTGATCAGAAATGCATCACCAAATCTAGAAGAACACACGTTGCTAATACAGGTGAGATTGACACGGTTATTCATTAAAGGCACACTGTAGGCAGCCAGACGACTTCGGCTCATTGAAGTGGTCTGGGTGCAATGTCCTTTAACGCTACAGTGGTAGTTATTGCAGTTTCTGAGAAACTTCAATAGTTCCCTCTGAGGGTTAACTACTCCTCTAGTTGCTGTCTACCAGACCGCCAATAGCAGGACTTCCGGAATCGAAACGGACCTCTGGTCTGTTATCTGACGCTGGACATCCTCACACCTTGCATTAAGGACCTCCAGATTCTTCCCCGTAGGAAAGCATTAAATAATGCTTTCCTATGGGGAGATACTAATGTGAGTGCATGGGCATTAGATCTTTTCTGCACGCTGTCGGTGGGGAGAGGATCGCGGGTGGAGTCTAACCCACCGCCGAAAGACAATGGCGCTGGATTCATGTAAGTCACTGAAGGGGTTTTAACCCCTCGAGTGCCGTGGGATGGGGCACTGCAAGAGCCTATAGTGCCAGGAAAACGGGTTTGTTTTCCTGGCACTATAGAATCACCTTAAAGCGAGATTTGCCAGGAATTAAAGTTGTACTACAAATACAAGTCTAAAATAGCCAAACTGAAACAATTCTTTAAGTCAACTATGCTTTCAGTTTGTTTTCTTTGGCCTTAAATTTGAAATTCATTTTGGATTCCTCAAAATTTTAACCCTGTGAGATTTGGTTTGGATGCCAAAGTTGGCAATCCCTGGAGGAAGTGAATATTGTACTGAATTCGATGTACTGCAAGGATTGGCTTTATTTTTTATTTACTAAAATTATCAACTTTAATTATTGTTAATGTGCAGATGGAATGTATGGAAAGCAAAGAATGTCATACAGAATTTATGTTGTTTTTCATGCACAAACCTATACAAATTTATTGTAGACTGTATATCTTGAAGTTTGTTAGTTTTTTAATTTCTACTTTGTGTATGCTGCAAACTACATATGTAAATATTCAAGTCGTGGGAAGTAAATCCAAAGTCGGTATTAAAACTGCCAAATGTGTACTCTACTGCCTCTGACTTTTTTTTTTCTGAAGTGGTCTGGGTGACTATAGTGTCCCTCCTGACTTCTTGGGGTCTTCTTAAGATCTTATAGATTAAAATATTGGAGTTTAAATACAAAGGTTCTGTATCAAAGGTAGCAAAACCTCCAGGATACATGGTTGTGTTTGGGTTAACTGTAGTGAATGAATGGACAAAGTAGTTCAAACGGTTCACTGGTTAAGGGAGGTCCAGTTATGGACCCAAACCAAAAGGGTCCTTACAATGAGAGGGCACCATAAGTACTACAGCGCGGTAAGTAGACAGCATGGTGTAGTAATGGAGATAATGTTTGGTCCTTTAAATTGCTTACAAATCTATGTTTGTTTAATTAACGGTTAAGCATTTCCAGTCATGTTTCAAGGGACTGGAGTTCATTTTTATTATGTCAGCTTCATAATGATATAAAATCGCACTTGAGGCAATATATTCCAGTAACCATTCCCATGAGCTCATGGTACCCTCCCTATCTATCAATGCTGCATGCTCTAACATTTCCCAATCAGCTGCAGGACTCCATTTCCCGATAACACCCGGGCCGCCAGCCTTTACCAGTAGGTGTGTTATACTGCCGCGGAGGACTCTGGGACATGAAGTCTAAAGACAAGGCGGAAGTGAAGAAGACAAGCGTGCTAGGTTGGTAATGCGGAAATGCTGACCCGTTGTTTGGGTTTTTGATAGACATCTGACCAAGTGCTTTGTGTTAGGATCTTTTGCTTACACGGAATGCAGCTCTCATGGTGCTCAGCCATCCACAGCTGTGCATTTTTAGGAGGTGCCTTTGCTTTTTTTTTTTTTTTGTAAACATATATTTAATATAATAATGTGCATTTAGACCGGTGATTATCTCCTGTTTTACTACAGAATTTCTGACAGTGACGATGTTTTGGGTTTTAGGGCATGGTAACTAGATATGAACAGTAGAGGTAGCAGGTCAGTTGGGGATCATGGGAGTTGCAGTAAAGAACTGCCTTTTATATTTTTATGCATTTTAAGTGACACATGGATACACCTAAAGCTCCATATATAAAGACTCAACTGTACATATGTGTGTAATCTCAGAGGACATTTGTTTGTGTAGTTGAATGAACAATCATTATTTGTAATACTAGGATTTTTAAAGCACCAACATATTCCACAATGCTTTACAATTTGGGGAAAGGTCAGTACTAAATATATATATATATGTATATATATATGTATATATATGTGTGTGTGTGTGTGTGTGTGTGTATGTATAAAAAAAAAAAAGAGAAATCTCTTGCACTCACGCTGTAAATATCCCTTGGTTCCCGGGTGCTCAACCAGGGCTTGGTTATCCAGATAGCCAAAGAGGTAGCAGCACTCACAGAGTTTAAAAAAATCTAATCTTTATTTGGTCATCTTAAAAATCACGATCAACGTTTCAGTCCTCTATATGGGACTTGCTTCAGGATCAATATGGTTTTAAACTCCATGAGTGCTGCTACCTCTTTGGAGATATATATATATATATATATATATATATAATTTTTTTAATTTACTTTTTTCTTCAGGAAATTTATAGAAATTTTAAAAGGAACTGACGAGCTACAAAATTGTTAAAAGAATGGAGCATTTTAGTTACAAAGAAAAGTTAAAAAAATGTAAATCTGCTTAGTTTTAGAAAAATGGCACCTGAGAGGGGATATGATAACATTATACAAATATATTCGGGCCAGTACAAACCTTTATCTGGAAATCTATTCATAAACAGGGCTATACATAGGACACAAGGTCACACATTTAGGCTGGAAGAAAGGAGATTTCATCTAAGGCAAAGAAGTTTTTTTTTTTTTACAGTAAGAGCAATAAGGATATGGAATTCTCTGCCTGAAGGTTTTGTCAGAGTCTATACAGATGTTTAAACTGCAATTGGATAAATACTTGCAAAACATAACATACAGGGGTATCATTTCTAATTAGTGGGGTAATAGCTGCTTGAGCCAGGGAGACATCTGACTGCTATTTTAGGGTCAAGAAGGAATTTTTTCCTAGTTTGTTGCAAAATTGGAAGCGCTTCAGACTGGGTTTTTTGCCTTCTTTTGGATCAACAGCAAAAACATATGTGAGAAAGGCTGAACTCGATGGACTCAAGTCTCTTTTCAGCTAGGTAACTATGTTCAGCACATGTGACTATGGCCTGGGCTGACAAATATCAATGCTGTGCAAAAATTACACTTGTCGTCATCACGCTAGTGACAGGCGTAATGGAATCCTGTATCTGCTCTCTGTCCATTCCTTCCTGCTCCCCATACCCTCTGCTATTTTTAACTTCTTCCAACCCACCCGTCTCCCTCCCCCTACCTTCACCAATGCAGAGCATGCGCATGAGCTCTGGCTCTGTTAAATGGTCCAATCAATGTGTTCTCTATGGGAAGTTTTTGATTGGACATCTGCGTGGCTTCTTTGATGTCAGATGATTCAAGGTAAGCAAAACCTTATTTTAATAAATTTTTTCAATTTTTTTTTTTAGCATTGTAGGGGAGCCTAAAGAGAGAAGCCAAATAAGCATTATTTAAAAAAAAAAAAAAGAGCCAAAAAGGGTTTGGATTGATCCTTTAATTATTGTAGTGTCTTATGCATGGCGCTACTGGACAAAATGTAGAATGCTTATGTTGGTGTACAGCATTTCTCCTTGATGATCAATGTGTGCAAAAGATGTACCTGAGGCATCATGGGATGGCAACATTGCTGCAATGCAGTGAAGATTGTTTTTCCTTGCCTCCGCTGCATATTGTTTATTCTTATCAAGTAAACCATTATAGCTTTGGTAAGCTCTTATTTTTACTCTGTATAGCTCACAAATGCCTGGTACAGTCTCGTCTGGCTAATCTGTCTCTCCAATGCAGTAGACCAGTGCCTTATACTTGCCAACTTTTCAAATGAACAAAGAGGGGCTGTCTTATATTAGGAGTGTGGCTAGGGGCTGTCCTGTTCTGAGAAAGTTTAGGTGACTTACTAATAACCTTGTCTGTAATTTATATGAAGACACTGTATTTCATTCACACAGACTAGTTTCTAAACAAATGTATTGTAGTTTAAATAGCAAATTACTAGCAGTATTATTGCTATGGAGCTCTGTTTTACACAGAGATGCAGCAACAATATGGAGCTCCCTGAAAAGAGGTATATTGATTTTAAATAGGTTATGTCCCTTCTAAATAGGGATATGTGGGACATATAATAATACAGAGAGCAAATTAGGTAAACATATTTTTGAGCATCTTGGTTAAAGGAAGACTAATGTGCTCGCAAATAACTCTCTTAAAGAAACATTCATTTGTTCAAATACAACCCCCAATGATTAATAGATATACCCTCAATGAAATAAATGCATAACTAATAATTGAAAATATGCATATTTTCAGTGAGGGTATGTCTATAATCAGCTTGCTAAAGCTGCATATCTCTTGTCTGCTACCTTTGCAAGCTCTCCCCTTTCTAACTCTGCCAAGGCTTTCTGTCACTGTCCAATCACAGACTACATTAGAAGCCTTGCAAGGCAGGTGGTCTGTGCTATTGCTGCCTCTTGTGTATATGCTCACTTAGCAAAACAATCAGGAAATAACCAGACCATTTTATTGACAGCCAGGGAATGTAACAAGGTTAATTTATAAAAGTGCCATTTACTGTTGAAATCTGCACTTTTTGTAAAATGGGGGGAAAAAACCCACACACATAAAACTTAAAGGACCACTATAGTGCCAGGAAAACATACTTGTTTTCCTGGCACTATAGTGCCCTGAGGGTGCCCCCACCCTCAGGGTCCCCCTCCCGCCCGGCTCTGGAAGGGGAAAGGGGTTAAAACTTACCTTTTTCCAGCGCTGGGCGGAGAGCTCTCCTCCCCGTCGGCTGAATGCGCACGCGCGGCAAGAGCTGCGCGCGCATTCAGCCGGTCGCATAGGAAAACATTTACAATGCTTTCCTATGGACGCTGGCGTGCTCTCACTGTGAAAATCACAGTGAGAAGCACGCAAGCGCCTCTAGTGGCTGTCAATGAGACAGCCACTAGAGGCTTTGGGGGAAGGCTTAACCTATTAATAAACATAGCAGTTTCTCTGAAACTGCTATGTTTATTAAAAAATGGGTTAACCCTAGCTGGACCTGGCACCCAGACCACTTCATTAAGCTGAAGTGGTCTGGGTGCCTAGAGTGGTCCTTTAAGTTCAACAGTATCACAATATAACTGTTCACCTAGCGTGGTGGTATGAAGTTATGGCACAAACAAATTCTTCAAGGGACACTCCAGACCAGAGAGTATGTGTGAAAAGTGTGTCCTCTATTTATTTCATTTCAGTTTACAAAACTTGCTAAGTTCAATAGTAATTGGCATTTCATTGACCCCTCAGGACGGAGTCAATAGTACACGTTCTGATCAAAGCAAAATGTAAACAAAAACTGTAATTTGCGCTAAATGTCTGTTCATCCGTAATTCACCTCTTTCATATTAAGTGCACCCACATTTATTATATATCATTTTGTTCAGGAGAAACTGGGCTTTAATTTCTCATGAACTATTCATAATTGAAACATAATTTATTATGAATAAATTTAAAAAAACTGTTAGAAATTAAGATTAAAAAAAAAATTGTAGACATTTTAGCTGTAAATGTCATAATACTGTTAGCTTTAACCGCAAAAAACCCCACATATTTGGATTCAGCAAAGTCTCACGAGTACAACAGTACCCCCCATCTCAACAGTTTTTACAGTGTTTTGAAAAGTTACAGGGTCAAATATAGCACATTCCATTTTTCAGTTTCTTCAAATTGAAATTTGCCAGATTAGTAATGTTACCTTTGAGAGCGTGTGGTAGCCCGGGAATGAGAATTACCCCCATGATGGCATACCATTTGCAATAGTAGACAACCCAAGGTATTGCAAGTGGGGTATGTCCAGTCTTTTTTAGTAGCCACTTAGTCACAAACACTGGCCAAAGTTAGCGTTCATATTTGTTTTTGTGTGAAAAAAGGAAAAAAAATTATATTTGGCCAGTGTTTGTAACTAAGTGGCTACTAAAAATGACTCGACATACCCCATTTGCAATACCTTGGATTGTCTACTTTTGCAAATGGTATGCCATCATGGGGGTAATTCTCATTCCTGGGCTACCATACGGTCTCAAAGGCAAAGTAACCAATCTAGCAAAATTCAATGTGAAAAAATGAAATGCAAGCCTTATATTTGACTCTCTAACTTTCCTAAACACCATAAAACCTGTACATAGAGGGTACTGTTATACTTGGGAGACTTCACTGAACACAAACATAAGTGTTGATTGGCAGGCACGTCAATCAAATTCTAATTAATAAAATCACATAATTATGTTAAAAGATTACTTAAATATACACGTAGAATTTTAATATATATATATATATATATATACATATATATGTATTTAAATTCTATGTGTATACTTATGGCGTTATTTATGTAATTTTATATATATATCTATATATATTTTGTAGTTGCAGTTATTTGTATTTTATAGATAGATATATATAGAATGTCATTCTAAGTGTATTTTGTTATATATATATATATATATATATATATATATATATATTAACAAAATACAGTTAGAATGAGATTACATATGTATATATAATTTATTTAATTTTTTTTAAAAATACTTTATTTATTTTATTATTTTATTTATTTATTATTGTAATTATACGTGTATATATAAATATAAAATATATATAATGTATCTTATATATATGAAACGTCTGTCTAAGTGTATTTTAATACTAATATATGTACTTATAATAACATTAAAATACACTACATATGACGTTACATATATATAAGATGTATATATATTATACATATATAAGATGTATATATATTTTATAAAGATGTGTGTGTGTGTGTATATATATATAATATATACATACATACACATACATACATACATACTTTTATTTTAAACTTGTTTGTTTAATTTTTTTTTTTATACTTCCCACCAGCAGGGGGACTGTCTGACATTTCAGACAGACCCCCTGCTGGCAGATCCACAGCCAGCTATAGGGGGCCATGTGATCGCTCTTTGAGAGCGATCACATGGCCCCCGCGGGCCTGATTTGCCGGGGGAGGGCTGTCTGGGCTGAGGATCGCGGCGGAGGTAAGTACCGCTGAGCTCCTGGGGCAGAAAGCAGTTACGGTGTTCTATGCCGCCGCAACGGCTTTAAAGCCCATTTAATGCTGGACGTAATGGCGTTAAGGGGTTAAATTACCCTTGCTACAACCCCCTGGCTGTCAATCAGATAACCAGTCCTGTTATTTCCTTGTTGTTTATTCCTAATGGAACTAAACTCGAGAAGTAGGCAAGTGCTCAGAAGAAGCAGCTTCATGTTGAGCTGCATTGGTAAGTCTGATTGGACAGCCACAGAAAATCTGGGCTGGGGAATAAAGGGGAGAGCTTTCAAAGGCTTCAGGAAGGAGATCTACAGCGTTTGCAAGCTGATTTCATATGCCTAATGAAATGCATGCATTTTTTTCTGCTGACTTTCTTCATCTATTTTGTATAACATCAGCTGGTTTATGTACCCAGCAATTGGACAATAAAGCAAGAGTTCCAGAACTTTTAAAATAAATCTATATATGAGGGAGATTTTTATTTTGTTTTTGGGTAGTGGAGTGTCCCTTTAACTCCATAAGCTCATGCAAAGTTCCTGTTCTGCACGTCAACGAGGGAAAGTGGACATCTGAAGTCAAGGAAGAAGCAAAGCACATTTTTAAATTATACCCATGTCATTATTTCTATTATAATTTATGTTTTTTGACACTTAATTTTAACTTTTCTCTGTTGTATTTTAATATCAGAGTAAGTAATGGAAGGGGATGGTTCCATCGTTAAAAAGAGGGTTCTTCCGCAGTGGATGACAGAGGAGAAGGTGAACAGAACGTCACAAAGAGATGTAAAAAGAAAAAAAATAATGTAAGAAAGTTAACCATTTACCATCTCTCCATTATATACAGTTTTTACAGAGATCTAAGTGTTTCATATTGAGAAGGGCAATAAATTATATAATAACCAAGGATTCAAATCTTATCCTTGAACGCTACCAGCATTTGAATTTATCCATTGAGAACATTGCTTGTAAAAGTGCTCTTTGTATCAGGATATACTCGTTTTAATTGCAGTTTATATAATTGCTGATTAATAATTTCAGAAACGCCTCCCTGGTTGTCAGTCATACAGCCGGGGAGATTATCTTCTTCTGCTGCTGTTAGATCCACAGAGTGCGCTAAACTTCTGTGGAGTTTCTTGCTTGCCCACATAGATTGATAAAAAGCAATCTGCATGCACGCTTGGGGCTTATAATAAGAGCTGTTTTTAAATATATGCCCTGTGAATTCTTTTTTTTTTAAATAAATGCATGTCTTTATTGGTGGTATATCTGCTAAATAATGTTATTTCTTTTGGCGGGTGGAGGGGGGAGCAGTGGAGGGTTCCTTTAAGTCAGGAGTGCCTGAAAGGTAGCCCCTAAGTTGACCAAGTTTTACATTAACAAGGAATCTACATTCAGTCATCCCAATATAAAGGGGTATTTGGTTATTGCATTTTCTTCAAAGCTTCCCCAAGGGTACATATCCACTTGTATGGTAGCATCCGTGGGGTCTGGTTTTGTTAAGTAAATAATTGTACCTAACACTGTCCCAACTTGGCAGCTCCATTTGTGCTACCACATCTTTTGCCATAGCCATGTCTATTGTATACTTCCATGCATGCGCAAAAGTACAAAATGTATAGGCATATACTGCAAGTCACTGCATGTTCTCAGCTGCCATTACTCACAACAGCTTCTGGAAAAGAGCAGGATGTGGTGGAATGAACTCCCAATTTCCACATTTTGCCTAAAGTGGGTTCCTGCATGAGTTCTTCGAACATTTTCAATTTTAGTTTTTCTTAACGAATCTATCATGACAATGACAGTGCTGCGTTTAGGGTTAGCCTGAGAATCCCTTAATGCACTCAATTGATTTTTTTAAAACATTTTACAGGCATTTATAATCTATCTATTGTATGTTTATTGAATGTAAGAATTAAGTGAGAATGTACGGTGAGGTTAGGAGTGAGTTTATGACTTACTTGGTGGGGTGTTAATTTACATAAAATGTCAGTCAATGTTATAAAACACCAGTATTTTATGTTTAATAAGACAACTAGCTGACAATTTTTTTTACTTTTTTAAATTAACATCGATTAAAAATGTCTGTTTCACAACAAATCTAGTTCTAAATCAACCAAATTGTAAAACCCACATGTAACGGAATCGCTGGCACCCCGACCGGGTACCTTCCGCCGACGGATGCTCCTAGTGCTTTCCGAGGACTCCAAGCACTCTGCCTGACACCATAACCACTGCAGACCCCACGAACCGCCGCAGCTTGGTTGGGATCTCGCCGTCTCCACCCACTCTGGACCCAGGACCAGGGTCCAACTTCCAGCAGGTCGACCTCTCTCCGAATTCCAGAGAGCAGGAACAGGAACAAGCTCTTAGCAGAGCTTAGTGATTATACCCTGGGGAGTATAGTGATTATAGCAATCCCCAGAGTGTAGTTTCTCCAATCCCCCAAACATGAGCCGAAACTTCATGAAGGTACAAGATGATCTGTTTATTGGCACACAAAGAACCTTCTTTTATGCAGGTCCCCATGCAAGGGGACATCCCACTGGGTGGGACAGAGTACAACCAATCACACAATGGTTACATCCCACACATCTCCTCCCCTTGAGGCAATACTTTCCTATGAGGAGGCCCTATACTGTGCATGGTGCTTGCCATGTATGCACATTAGGACACCCATCTGATAAGTGCAACTTAGCATTGAGTGACATCGATGTTGGAATGGGGTAAGTGATTAAACTTTGTATTCCCAACACAATAGTTTTCCTTTAAAGTGAGACTGTTGAAAGTGGACTTTTAGAGACATTCAGCATCCTAATTTCTTATAGTTTTTGATTAGTTGCTCTATTATTCTTGTATACTGTTCACCCTTTTTATTGTCAAGAAGCCTTTCTAAAAACATATTCTACAACAGAATTTTATTTTATTTTTAAATACATGCCACTAATTCTGTTTATTTTTTGGAGAAACATTTCATCTTTTAGTAATTTTGTAATCTGAGGACCAACAACTATAACTTCTCTGATTTATGGCATTGCTCTGTTAGGGAACTGTATATTTTAAATATTGAAATAATTTATTTTCTTTATTTAAGGCTTTTACATATTGATTCATAAGTCCCAATTTTCTATGAAGCAGTGGAGGAAGTACCAAATTTGAATCGACTAGTGGTTTATATTTAACGTTATTTTTTTCCTGAAATAGATGGTTCTCTTGAAGACCATTCTTTTACATCATAATGCTGGTAGACAGCTCGACTATCCCACAAATATTAGTCGATATTTCAGAAATGTGACGTGATATAACATTATGTTCAAATTTGTAATTTAAATTTAAATTGACAAAAATACACCATTGTTCCCATGTTAGAAACCTTATGTCGGCTAGTGTCATTGTAATACACAAGTGGCAAGAAGGTTTTATATTCTCTTCTAATCAATTTTTTTTTTTTTTTTTAAAGGCTCTTAAATGGTACTCATAGGGACTGGATTAATTGCCCTCCACAACAAAGCAGTGGTTTCATGCAAGTTCATTTTAATATTAAAGGGACACTTTAGGCACTGTAACTGCTTCATTTCAATTGATTATAGTGTCTGGAGTCCCCTGCAGCTGTCCTTTATTTCAGTGTTAAACCATTTTAAATATTTTAATGCTAAATGAAAGTCCCCAGCAAACCTCTGTGCTGGACTAATGAGAAAGCATTAATTGGCTGAGAGTGCCAGCTGACTGTTTCCAGCCTATCATAGCCACCCATTGCTGATATAAATGAATTTGTATGGCTAAGGAATAGTGTAGTTTTTGCCCTAGCCATACCTCCAGTAAGGACAGGGACACTTATTCAGTGTTAAACTGAGGGATAGCAGCAGAAGAAGCTAGGCAGTATGACCAATTTCATGAGATTCAATGGTTATAATGCCCATAGTATCCCTTAACTAGCTGTGATCCTTGCCCGTTAACCTCCAATAAACCAAGAAATGGTGCATATATTTCAACAACCTTTAGGTTTTCTATTGATATAAAATATAGAGTAAGCACTGCACATACTCTGGTCTAGAAAGTATATGAATGTGATCAATTTGTGCACAGTGGTTCACTTGAATGGAAGTCATTACAGCTGTATTGTAATTGGCTCCCATTCTTTAAAATGAGAACATTCTACGTATATATATCAGCTAAAATACTGCAATAACATAGTTCCTACTGTTTGTCTTGACCTTTTTAAGTGTTTTATTTAGGTTCAAGTACAGTAATGCAATAATCTGAATGTTATAAGCATACTATTTTTACTGTTTGAAAGTATCCCTTGAAAGTATTACTCGAATGTTAAAAACAAAATGTTGATGTCCAGTCATATGCTTCTGAGAAATCACTGGGATATACAGCACATGTAGAGGAGCAGTGAATCCAATCCTTCTTTATAGGAAGCAGTAGCCACATTTGGAGTCACCATGCTGTGTATAATAATGCCAAATGAGAAGTACTTCTAAAATAGAAGCATCTAAAGGTTTACAGCCACTAGAGCTGCATTATTAGTAAAATATGAACATTGCCCTAGAAAAGGGCTTCTTACTCCAAAATCACTGCATTAAAATGTAGTGTTCGACCGATATTGATTTTTTTTTTTTTAGAGCAGATACCGATAATCTGTGAACTTTCAGGCTAATAGCCAATAACTTACCGATACCGATATTCTGTACATTGACCATTTAAAAAAAAAAACAAACAACTATTTCTACACAAATCTACTGTTAACTGAACATGTTTATTATTTATTTATTTTTTTGCTCATTTTTTTTTTTTTTTTAATTAAGGTAAATGCACAAAATATACATGCCAGTCAGAATATTTTTATGTTTTCAAGAATATGTGTGTAGTGGATGCAGTGAGAGTATTTGATTAGTGGATGCAGGGTGTGTGTATAGTGAATGCAGTGTGTTTGTGTAGTGTGTATATATTGAATGCAGAGTGTGTGTGTTTGTGTAGTGCGTATATAGTGAATGTAGTGTGTTTGTATAGTGTGTGTATTAATGAATGCAGAGTGTGTGCCGTGTGTGTATATTATTATTATTATTATTGCCATTTATATAGCGCCAACAGATTCCGTAGCGCTTTACAATATTATGAGAGGGGGGGATTTAACTATAAATAGGACAATTACAAGAAAGCTTACAGGAACGATAGGTTGAAGAGGACCCTGCTCAAACGAGCTTACAGTCTATAATGAGTGCAGTGTGTTTATGTAGTGTGTGTATATATAATGAATGCAGTGTGTGTTTGTGTAGTATGTATTTGTACCGTCAGTGTTTGTGTAGTGTGTGTGTATATAATGAACGCAGTGTGTATTTGTAATGTGAGTGTTTGTGTAGCGTGTGTATATAATGAATGCAGAGTGTGTGTTTGTGCAGTGAGTGTTTGTGTAGGTATGAACATTGTTAAGTGTGTAAAATGGGGGGGGACGGACATTTTTATTGTTTTGGAAAAAATATACAAAATTTTTAAATTGTGTTTTGTTCCCCCTCCCTGCTTCTTACCTGGCCAGGGAGGGGGGATATGGCATTTCCTGGTGGTCCGGTGGCATGGACTGTGCAGAGGGGGCCCTGCACACTCACTTACCTTCCAAGCAGCTCCCCTGTCTAACTCTCGCGGCCTGTGTGCCGCGCGGAGCATTGCAATAGTAACCAGTGGCAACGCTCTGACTGCTGCGAGACTAGCAAGATTTAGTCAGGCGAGCTAAAGGGAACTGCTGGGAAGGCAAGTAAAAGTGTGCTGGGCCCCCCAGGACCCTGGTCTGCATTATCTGCAATATCGGTATCTTTATTGGCCGATACCGATATTGCTGAAAATACAGAATATCGGCCAGATCGATAATCGGTGGATTCCTATTAAAATGTTGCGATTATTGAGCTTAGAATGTAATAAGGGTACAATTACACCATCTAAAAGTGTTAAAACATTCGGACATGTCAATACAATATAAAGTTCAAATAATATACTTTGATCATCCCCCACATCCTTTTACAGAGCCATGAACTTTACATGACTGGTTGTGCGGATTATAGGACGTATGATGTTCAGCATGAGGAAGGGTGGGCCACGTGCATGCAGAGTGAATACTAGGTTGTACGCTGATTATACAAGTTATCTAAACACCAATGTACAGTTAAAATGTTTATTTAACCGTGAAGGCATTTTGCTAAAATATTTGCTTTCTTTTGCAATTTCTCACACTAGATCTTCCAGGAACCGGACTGTGTATTGTTTAAATGAAATGGAGCTTGTGGATTATGCTGTAGAGATAATTAATAAGGTACATTCAATATGATAATTCTCTCTTTCTGCTCTTCATTTTTTTGTTTAAAGGAACACTATAGGGTCAGGAAAACAAACATGTATTCCTGACCCTATAGTGTTACAACCAACATCAAGCCCTCCTGGACACCCCTTGCCCTACCTAAATATAGCAAAATCTTACTCTTATTTCTGTCTGCTGTTGCTGGCTCTACCCCTGATCTGCCTGCTTGGCTGACATCATCAGAAGTGGTGTTCTGAGCCAATCCTAATGCTTTCACATAGGAAAGCACTGGATTGGCTTAAACTGTCAAGGAGGCAGATCAGGGACAGAGCCAAGACAAGCCAAACAGCCCTGGCCAATCAGCATCTCCTCCTAGAGATACATTGAATCAATGCATCTCTATGAGGAAAGTTCATTGTCTCCATGCAGAGGGTGGAGACACTGAATGTCAGTGCTGCTCACTATGCAGCACTGCCCCAGGAATCACCTTTAGGAGCCATTTCAGGAGTGGACAGTGAAGGTATCCCTAGGCTGTAATGTAAACACTACCCTTTCTCTGAAAACAGTGTTTACTGCAAAAAGCCTGAAGGGAATGATTATACTCACCAGAAAAAATACAATCAGCTGTTGTTGTTCTGGTGACTATAGTGTCTCTTTAATCTTTTACATGCCAATGATGTAATAATATATATATTTGTTTTTAAAAACAACCTTCAAAGATCGTATATCAAAATTGAATGTTTCACTCATTTAACAAAGTCAGGGCTGCAAATTGAAAAATAAAACATTCCTTACTAGTAAAGGGTCTTTAGGAATACTTAAAGGGCTAAACTAAGCATGTCAAACTCAAAGGCTAAGATTGGCCCAAATAAACAAGGTTTACGTTTGTGGGCTGCAAAAAAAAAAAAATCCAAACTTCAGTTTCCATAGAAACGTAGGTTTATTTAGAAAAGTACAGTATAAAAAAGTTGCCTGACACTGGACGTCCTCGCGCTCGTAGGGCTTCAAAATAAAAAAAAGCAAATTTATTTTAAGAAATGCTTTTCCATATAAAACAACGTTTCAATCCAACTACCTTGACATATTAAGAAATGTTTGGTAATGGGACTGAAATGGTGAATGTATGCTATTGCACAGCTGTAAAAAACAAATTACATTGTCTTGTTTATTTTGAAGTTCTATGAGTGTGTTCTTCACTTTGGCTGAGATCATCAAACTTGATGATCTCAGCTTATCCAATGCTTTCCAACAGGAAAGCATTGGGAGGCTATTGTGCATGTGTGGCAAAAAGCTGCGCGTTCAAACAGCGCCTACATGCAGACCCAATCCAACACACTGCCCCTCTTCCCACTCTAATGCATTTCCCCCAAATCCAACCATCTGCCCCTCCTCCCTCCACTCCACCATACACTGCCCCCTTCATCCAATCTAATACATTGCCCCTCCTCCCTCCACTCTAATTTAATAGACTACCCCCACTCCCACCACTCTACTTTAATACACTGCCCCCCTTTTCCCCCCCAATTTAATACAATGGCCCCCTAACTTCCCCAAATTAATACACTGCACCCTCCCATTAATACACTCCCACCGTTCCCCAAGGTAATACACTGGCCCCCTTCCTCCCCCCAGATTAATACACTGCCCCTTCCTTCTCTTAAAATAATACACTGCTCCCCACCCCCACCACTCTGGACTGCCCTCCCCCCAATTTAATACACTAGCCCCCTCCCATCCTCAAATTAATACCGTTCGCCTCCTTCAAATTAATACACTGACCCCCTCCTTCCCCCAAATTAATACACTGACCTCCTCCCTCCCTCAAATTAATACAGTGCCCCCTTCCCCAAGCCTCTCTTCTCCTGCCTTACAATTTTTTGTCCATCCCTGGCACTGCGAGCAGGAGGGAAGGGGGAGTGGCTGCTCTGGTCTACTCAGCAGACACACAGCCACTCTGCCCTCTTGTGGCCGGGAGAGCAAGAATCAGAAAATATTTTTCCTGTCTTGCAGGTCACAGCCACAGCTGAAAGCGGCCCCAGATATGTTCACTGTGGGCCGCGGGCCGCATGTTTGACATGCTTGGGCTAAACGAATACTACTTTAAGTCTAATTTTGAATTTTATGAGAGTTTTGCAATGGCTGTTTCACTGGCTCAGAGCGCACACGGACAATCTGAGCTGGCAAAAGGAGGGATTCTGAATTAATCAAAACACCAAAATAAAGTACCTGCGGAAGAGAGTGCACAGTGGGAGGGGAAAGCAGTCTTCCCCTTGCAGATGCTCGGCCTGCAAGGGAGAAGATCATTACGTCTGTCAGTGTGCAGTGTATGTTGACAACAGAAGTAAAACATGCATAGAATTTGCTGCCTGGCTACCCTACTTCCTCTCTTCCAACATCCCATCCCTAATTCTTGGAGACTTCAATATTCCCGTTAACCCACCTTTGACCCCAGCAGCCTCTAAACTACTTTCAATCACTTCCTCCCTTGGACTTTTGCAGTGGGCTAATTCTCCCACTCATGTAGCTGGCAATACCCTCGACCTTATTTTCTCTTCTTCATGTACAATATCTAATATCTGCAACACCCCATTTCCTCTCTCTGATCACCACCTCTTATCATTTGCTCTCAATTACCCCCTCACCCAACAATCTCAGCCTAACCCCCCTCAGCTCAGGAGAAACCTTAACTCTATTGACCTCAAGCAGCTGTCAGCTGACATTGATTCACAACTGCTATCCATCCCTTCCCTCTCCTGTCCCTCACTGGCCATCTCCACATATAACACTACCCTCACATCTGCCTTGAACGCTGCAGCCCCGCTCAAAACATGCACCTCGAGGAGAACACGACCCCAACCTTGGCATAATAAATCAACACGCTATCTGCAGAGTTGCTCCCGTTGTGCTGAACGCTCCTGGAGGAAGTCCCGCACCCAGGCAGACTTTCTCCATTATAGATTCATGTTGCTTTCATACAGCGCAGCCCTCGCCCTCGCCAAACAGTCATACTTTTCCTCTCTCATTAGTTCATGCTCCCGCAATCCCAGACGCCTCTTTGACACCTTTAATTCCCTTCTCCGCCCTGCTGTGGCCACCCCCCAAACTAACCTTACAGCTGATAGCTTTGCATGCTACTTTACCGACAAGATTGAACAGCTAAGGAAACAATTCTCCCCTCCTTGCCGTTCTCTTTCTCAACCACATGTAAATCTTGCTTTCCCTACCCTCCAGACTTTCTACCCAGCTACTGAACAAGAGGTGGCTGCGCTTCTCCATTCCTCTCGCCCCACCACTTGCCCGCTCGATCCTGTCCCATCTCACCTCATCAGATCTCTCTCCCCTTGTCTTGTGCCTACCCTAACACACATCTTTAACTGCTCTCTCTCTTCTGGCACTGTTCCTGCTGACCTTAAACATGCCACTGTAATACCTATCCTGAAAAAAACATCTCTTGACCCATCCTCCCCTTCTAACTATCGTCCCATATCCCTGCTCCCTTTCTCATCAAAGCTTTTGGAAAGGCTTGTCTTTACCCGTGTGTCTCGCTTCCTTAATTCCAACTCTCTCCTTGACCCTCTTCAGTCTGGCTTCCGCCCTCTCCACTCTACTGAGACTGCTCTTATCAAAGTGACTAATGACCTAATCTCCGCTAAATCCAAAGGTCATTACTCCATATTAATTCTCCTTGACCTCTCTGCTGCCTTTGACACCGTTGATCATGCTCTCCTCCTTCAAACTCTTCAATCGCTCGGTCTCTGTGACTCGGTCCTTTCTTGGTTTTCCTCCTATCTCTCCCAACGCTCATTCAGTGTCTCCTTTTCCAAGGATACCTCCTCCACTCGTCCTGTCTCGGTTGGAGTTCCCCAAGGGTCTGTCCTTGGTCCCCTTCTATTTTCTCTTTATACCGCCTCTCTTGGTAAACTGATTGCCTCTTTTGGATTCCACTACCACCTGTACGCTGATGACACTCAGATATACCTCTCCTCCCCGGACCTCTCCCCTGCTGTCCTGCAACATGTCACTGCTTGCCTTTCTTCCATCTCTGACTGGATGTCTTCACGCTTTCTGAAACTTAACCTCTCTAAAACTGAACTCCTTGTCTTTCCTCCTCCTAATACTGATCCTCCTCTCTCGCTCTCCCTTCAAGTCAGTGATATCCACATAAGTCCATCCCTGCAAGCGCGCTGTCTTGGCGTCATACTTGACTCTGGTCTCACCTTCGAGTCTCACATCCAGTTTGTTGCCAAGTCCTGTAGGTTCCAACTCAAAAACATAGCCCGCATTCGCCCCTTTCTTACACAAGATGCTACCAAGGAGCTTGTCCATGCTCTAGTAATTTCCCGCATGGATTACTGTAACCCTCTCCTGATTGGTCTCCCCAAAAGCCGTATTGCCCCGCTACAGTCTGTAATGAATGCTGCAGCTAGACTGATTTTCCTCTCTAGTCGGTCCTCTCACACCTCACCCCTCTGCCGGTCCTTACATTGGCTCCCTGTATGCTATAGGAGTCAATTCAAAGTGCTAACCCATACATTTAAAGCACTGAACAGTTCTAGCCCCGCTTATATCTCTTCACTGATCCATAAATATGCCCCTCCTCGTACCCTCCGCTCTGCCCGTGACCACCTCCTGACCACTGCTCGCACCCGTACGGCCAACTCGCGCTTGCAGGACCTCTCGCGGGCGGCTCCTCTCCTATGGAATAGCTTGCCTACTGCCATCAGACTCTCCCCTAGTCTTCAATCATTTAAGAAGGGCCTTAAAACCCATCTCTTCAGGAAAGCTTATGGCCTCCCAGAGTAATCTCTACCTTACATACCTGTCTCCTGCTCTCTCCTATGGGACAGTGCTTTGCTCTCTCCTCCAGCTCTGCTTCACTCCTACTTGATATTTATTGTCCTAATGTTTCAAATACCCCACCTCCAATAGTCTGTAAGCTCGTTTGAGCAGGGTCCTCTTCAACCTATTGTTCCTGTAAGTTTTCTTGTAATTGTCCTATTTATTGTTACACCCCCCCTCTCAAAATATTGTAAAGCGCTACGGAATCCGGTGGCGCTATATAAATGGCAATAATAATAATAATAATTCACATTAGGCAGCCTGAGTCATGTGAGCCGAGGATGTAACTAGCCCCTGGCACACAAGTGCAAATAACTCTGAATGTACAGTATTTTAAAAAACAAACAAAAAAAACTGCACTCCTGCGGTTACAACCACCAAGACCACTTCAAATCACATGGAATAACCCTTTAAGTGAAATTACCATTTTTCTAAATCTAAGTAGCAACATGCCAGCTGTAAGTGTGCTTTTTATGGCTTCTTTGAGCTATTACCTATCCCACTGCTTTTATGACAAGCTTTGAGAAACACTGTATTGGTTGGTGAGATAACCTGTTGCAATTGGATTAGAGGTAAGAGCTTTATGTCTCAGGAAATATATTTATAATGCTTGGATGTTATATATATATATAGCCCAATAACTGTAATTCATCAGACATGTGGATTACAAAATCCTCTTAAGTAGTATGCATGTAGACCCCAAAACAGGTTTATTCACTAAATTGTGTGCCAAAATATCGAATTGGGAAAAATATCCAGCTCATATTTAGGCATACAATTTGAAATTCTCTGGCCAATTACAAATAAATCACAATTCCTGAAAATATTAGAACATATACTCACCTGAAAATCACTTCTGCACATGTTTAGGTGATCTCTTCAAATTCTTGCACACTTTCTCTCTTTCAAATTATTCATACAGCCAGATAAATATCATTTGGAGCTAGTCACAACATTAATCTTTATCAGCAACATAAAAGTTTATTTTTTTTATTTTTATTATTATTAATACATTTCTATTTCAGAGTAAAAAGCAGTTGGGTAAAGAAGAGAGAAATACAAAAATGATACCTGAAGATGTAGAGATTGCCGAGACACCACCCAGTCCAGTTTCAGTGTCACAAAGCCCAAAACTTCCTGTTTCACCTGCCACAAATTATGAAACAACCACAATGGCATCTGGGACTTATCCTGAGAACGATGACGACCCATTAAAATTTGTCAGAGAAATATTTTTTAGTTGATCATAGCAAGAAGACAATCAAGTCTACAGATGCCCCCAATTTGTTTTAAAACATTTTTTGTGGAGTGTATTTTTTGAAGAAACTCAATGGACACTCAGTGGAGGACAAATATGGTTTCAGTATTAGAGACATTTTATTTATAAGTATTTATACTGTGCATGCAAAAAATGGTTAAATTTACAGACGTGTTTGTAATTAAATAATGTTTTGCAATAGATGCGTCACGTAAAAATTTATACCCAGATATCCATTTTTCACAAATACACATTAAATGTAATTAGATCGGATCTGTCACTCTTTGGGATGTTTTTGCATTTCACAAAGATCCCTTGACAGTGACAGATCCAGTGCCCATGAAGTGCAGAGGAGGTAAACTTCAAAGGGACACTATAGTCACCTGAACAACTTCAGCTTAATGAGGTTGTTCAGGTGAGAACTATAGCTCCCTGCAGCCTCTCCCATGTAAACAAGGTATTTTCAGAGAAAATACAGTGTTTACATTGGAAGCTAGGAACACCTCCAGTTGCAGTCACTCAGACTGCCACCAGAGGGATTTCCGAGTTGATGAATGCCTAATTCGCATTTGTCTTCACGCTTGGGTGAAGACATCAAATATGCTATCAGGAGATAGGAGGCACTGTGAACGTGCCTCCTATGTCCTATAGTAACCCCGGTGCTTGTCAGGCTGAGAGCCGACAGTGTGGTAGATAAGATCTGCTCTCAGCTGACAGGCTGAAGACCGGAGACCGAGCAGGAGGATCCAAACTGTAAGCAAACAGTAAGTATTTTATGAGTGTGTGTGGGTGGGTAAGTAACTAATTGTTATTGTGAGTGAGTGACAGAGTGTGGGTGGGTAGGTGAGTGACTGATTGTGGGTGGACGGGGGAGAGAAATAGAGAGTGTGTGTATGTTTAACAATATTTATTTACAGTGTGTGTTTGTATATCAACACTATATATAGAGATATCTATATAGTATTTGCATATTAACTTTGGGCTGGAGGGTTGCCGTATGAGGGGGGCAGGCACAGACACCGAGCTGAGTTGTCAGACCGTTTAGCTCGCGAATGCACATGCCACTCTATGAAGAACCTGATTGGTGCAGCGCGAAGCTGTGCATGCGCACCAGAGCGCGATGACGCTTCTCAAAGAGAAGCGTCTTGGGCCCTGCAATTTTGTCCCTTTTACAAAAAAGGGGCGTGGCCTGACGAGGAGCTTGACGCTGTAACAGAGGTAAGTTTGAATGATAAAAAAATAATTTCGAGCCCTTTTATTAGGGGGAAGTTCATATACAAGCAAGAAAGAAGGTTAGGTGACCTGTCTTTCTTGCTTTTATATTTTGACTATAGTGATCCTTTAACGTTTTTCAAGCGGTCCCTCATGGCCGCCTTCATTTTCATCCTGCTGTCCCTCTTTGGCTCCTGGCACTTAATTTGCCAAGAGGTGCTTCAGTGCTGTACTCTCATGCACATGCAAGATTACAGCACTGAGATTTAAGGGGGATACCAAGAGTCTGAATCCTACAGCCATCAATTGTTGATGCGGTAGCTCTGCCTTTTTTGCCAACCTCTGATTTGTTTTTGATTTTTTTTTAGTCCCTACTTTGTCTTGTAATATCGTTGGATTGATTGAGATTATATCTTTATAAAATGCTAAAATGTGAGTTGATTTAAATTAAACAAGCATTAATCTGATGACATATAGAAACATAGAATGTGACGGCAGATAAGAACCATTCGGCCCATCTAGTCTGCCCAATTTTATAAATACTTTAATTAGTTCCTAGTCTTATCTTATAGTTAAGATAGCCTTATGCCTATCCCACGCATGCTTTACTGCTTTACATGCTTTACCACGCAACTCCTTTACTGTGTTAACCTCTACCACTTCAGCTGGAAGGCTATTCCATGCATCCACTACCCTCTCAGTAAAGTAATACTTCCTGATATTATTTTTAAACCTTTGTCCCTCTAATTTAAGACTATGTCCTCTTGTTGTGGTAGTTTTTCTTCTTTTAAATATAGTCTCCTCCTTTACTGTGTTGATTCCCTTTATATATTTAAATGTTTCTATCATATCCCCCCTGTCTCGTCTTTCCTCCAAGCTATACATGTTAAGATCCTTTAACCTTTCCTGGTAAGTTTTATCCCGCAATCCATGAACCAGTTTAGTAGCCCTTCTCTGAACCCTCTCTAAGGTATCAATATCCTTCTGAAGATACGGTCTCCAGTACTGTGTATAATACTCCAAGTGAGGTCTCACCAGTGTTCTGTACAATGGCATGAGCACTTCCCTCTTTCTACTGCTAATACCTCTCCCTATACAACCAAGCATTCTGCTAGCGTTTCCTGCTGCTCCATTACATTGTCATCAGAATAATTACCCCTAAATCCCTTTCCTCAGATGTTGAGGTTAGGACTCTATCAAATATTCTGTACTCTGCCCTTGGGTTTTTACGTCCGAGATGCATTATCTTGCACTTATCCACATTAAATGTCAGTTGCCACAATTCTGACCATTTTTCTAGTTTACCTAAATCATTTGTCATTTGGCTTATCCCTCCTGGAACATCAACCCTGTTACATATCTTAGTATCATCAGCAAAAAGACATACCTTACCATCAAGACCTTCTGCAATATCACTAATAAAAATATTAAAGAGAATGGGTCCAAGTACAGATCCCTGAGGTACCCCACTGGTGACAAGTCCAAGCTTCGAATATATTCCATTAACTACAACCCTCTGTTGCCTGTCACTCAGCCACTGCCTTACCCATTCAACAATATTGGAATCCAAACTTAAAGATTGCAGTTTATTGATAAGCCTTCTATGTGAAACAGTGTCAAAAGCCTTACTGAAATCTAGGTAAGCAATGTCTACTGCACCACCCTGATCTATAATTTTGGTTACCCAATCAAAAAGAATCAATAAGATTAGTTTGGGATGATCTCCCTGAAGTAAACCCATGTTGTTTCTGTTCTTGAAATCCATGTGTTTTTAGATGTTCATCAATCCTATCCTTTAACATGGTTTCCATCACTTTCCCCACTACTGAAGTAAGGCTTACTGGCCTATAGTTGCCCAACTCCTCCCTATTACCTTTCTTGTAAATGGGCACAACATTTGCTAACTTCCAATCTTCTGGGACTACTGTTAACAATGATTGGTTAAATAAATCTGTTAATGGTTTTGCTAGTACACCACTAAGCTCTTTTAAAAGCTTTGGGTGTATTCCATCAGGTCCCATTGACTTATTTGTCTTTACTTTTGACAGTTGAAATAGAACCTCTTCCTCTGTAAACTCACCTGTAATAAATGACTCATTTATCCTTTTTCTCAACTGAGGTCCCTTTCCTTCATTTTCATCTGTAAATACTGAACAAAAATATTCATTGAGGCAGTCAGCTAGACCTTTATCCTCTTCTACATACCTTCCTTCTTTTGTTTTTAATCTAACTAAAACCATTAACAGATTTATTTAATCCTTGTTTTACTTTTCTTTTCTCATTTATGTATCTAAAAAATGTTTTATCCCCCTTTTTTACTGACTGTGCTATTTTCTCTTGTGTGTGTGATTTGGAAGCTCTTATAACTTGCTTAGCCTCTTTCTGCCTAATCTTATAAATCATTTTGTCTTCCTCACTCTGTTTTTTTTTATAATTTCTAAATGCTTACTTTTTGTTTTTAACTATTTTGGCCACATCTGTGGAGTACCACAGTGGTTTCTTTAATTTTTTTGCTTTTACTGACAAGCCTAATGCAATTTTCTGTTGCCTTCAATAGTGCAACTTTTAAATAATCCCATTTCTCTTGGACTCCATTTAAATTGCTCCAGTCTGATAATGACTCCTCTACCCATATTCTAATTTTAGAAAAGTCTGTTTTCTAAAGTCTAAAACTTTTGTTTTTGTGTGGTGTGACTCAGTCACTGTTCTTATATTAAACCACACTGACTGATGATCACTGGATCCTAAACTTTCACCTACAGTAATATCTGATACCAAATCTCCATTTGTTAACACTAAATCTAGTATGGCCTCTTTACGAGTTGGCTCCTCAACAACTTGTTTTAGAGACAATCCCAGTAGGGAGTTTAGAATATGTGTGCTCCTGGCACAAGTAGCTAATTTTGTTTTCCAATTTACATCAGGAAGATTAAAGTCACCCATGATGATAACTTCCCCTTCATTGTCATTTTAGCTATTTCCTCAACTAGTAGATTATCTAACTCTTCAATTTGTCCTGGGGGCCTATAAATCACACCTACACGAGTTACTGTGTGATTACCAAATTCTAACGTAGCCCAAACGGAATCTATGTTTGCCTCACTAACTTTTTTTTTTTATGCTATCCTTCACATACAAGGCCACCCCTCCCCCTTTCTTGCCTTCCCTATCTTTCCTATATAAAGAGTATCCTGGTATTGCTATGTCCCAGTCATTTTTCTCATTGTACCATGTCTCAGTAACAGCGACTAAATCTACACTATCAGTTGCCATTATTGCCACAAGTTCATGGATCTTATTCCCTAAACTGCGAGCATTTGTAGATATGACTCTAAGCTTATCATTTTTTAACACACTTGCTACAGACTTATTAAAGTATATAAATAAATAAATGCACACTCCTGTGTGACCCTCTTATGACCAGACTGGTACTAAATTTCAACCCAGGCATTTACAGGCAGATTAAGATTGAGAGTTGGGAGGTGGTGCCTGGTAAATACATGTAAATGCTGTAATTCAATCCAGGGAGCATGCACTTGGTCTGCATCTGGTGGAGATGCAAACTGCACACTCTCTGGACACCCTCCTCTTGAGATTACTTAGTATTCGTAATTAAGGGAGATTAAAATATCCCTTCTGTCCCTACTCGCTATACTCCGAGTAGGGTCATGTCTACTAAACAGTGAGCAGCCAATGGGGGCCCTAAGTTACCATAGGGGGGGGCTATTGTCCCATGCCCCTCGGCCCTCAGCCATGAGCAGCGGGTGGGGGCACTAAATGACAATGGGAACATACACACCTATGTTTACATTTAACCCCCACCTGTCACCCATAGGGGAGTAGGTCCCCCCATTGTAACTTAGGGCCTCCACCTGCCGCTAACTGATGAGGGTTAGGGGAGACAATAAGTCTCCCACATTGTCATTGAGGGCACCTACCCAACACTCATGGGTGGGTGCCGGGGGAGGCAGTAGGTCCCCTCCCTATTGTAACTTAGGACCCCCACCCACCGCCTCACGGATGGGGGGGGGGGTTGGGAAGTAGTAGGTCCTTCCTCCTCCTATTATTTAGGCCCCCCACCCACCGCTTATGAATGGGGGCTGAGGGGGGACACTAGGTCCCCTGTTTAGTGGCCCCCACTCATGATGCACGAGTCCCACCCGTTGGAGCTGTCTCAGCCGAATCTCGTGTTAGCTCTCCAGTAGTGGAATGGGGAGCGACATCTGATGGACCCCAATTAAGAAGGCAGACCATTCAAAGTGCACTCTTAGTACCATAAGAACTACAGTGAGCTGTAATGGTTATGGTGATTTGAGTGTTCCATTAATCTTTTTTTAAATAAGAGAGCACAGAATATTATGATAAAATGATGACACCTGACATTTGTGCTGTCAGGGCTTGTCGGACTTGCCTTACCATAGGTTATTTGTGTGCCATTAAAGCATAAGCAAATCTGACGTTTGCACACAGCCTCATATTAGGTATGGCATTTGATGTAAAGGTGCCTTTTGTTCCCTATTTTCTATACTGCAAACACATAGCTTATACCTAATCTTTTTAAAGCCTATCCAGATTTTCCAACACACCCCAAAAACACTTAACATCCCACAAAATAAAACTAAAAGTAGGTACTACATGGAAAAGAGATACTGCAGGTCAGTTACACTACCAGATTCTGGTAATTTGCTTGGATAGAAAGAAAAAACAATCAAGTCTATCTTTTTCAAAAATATACATTCTTTTATTTATAATATAGCAATATTTGATCGAAACGTTTCAAAACTATTAAGAATACAGTTTTAAAATCACCACTGATTGTTTTGTACAACAGTGTCTGAAATAGGGATGGTTAAGAACCATGACAGCGAATAAATGTCTAAAGTGCTTTTTTTTTTTTTCACAGCAGAGTGTGATTTAATGTTCAGTAGCAGAAGTGTCTATTTTTAAATAGTAAATTCAGAACAAAAATTCTAATTTCATATAGAAATCTATAAAATCAAATATATGTGTAAACATTTCCTTAATACAAGGTAACACAAGGTACACACCAACACATTTTATTTATATTTCTGAATATAGTCTGTTACACAGTGGTTAAATATGAAGCCCGGGGGCTGCAAAAGGTAAGGTCAGAAGAACTTCTTTCCCTTGTATCACAGTCTTCAGGTGTTGAGGGCTCTTTTATCAAATTACTGTAATGTCTCATAATGGAGTAGAGCACACACAGGCCAACAATAGCCAACATCAAAGCCAAGGAGCCCATGCTTAGGTGAGAAAGATCAAGCAGTGTCCATATTAATAATAGTTTCAGAATCAGCCCCAAAAGGAGTAATGTAAAGGTGATGGCATTACATCCCAATGCAAACATCCACAGGGAACCATCATTGAGACACTGTGCAAGCATCAAGGTGAGAAATCCAATAAAGAATACCACCAGGGAAGAGTATGTCAAGACAAGTGCCAAGATAACTCCTTCTGGGAATGCAATACCTGCCTTGTGTAGATCCTGTGGATGAGTGATACAGAAACATAACGTGCTAGTTTCATTTCGAAAACAGTAGTTATAAAATCCGATCTTCTTGCAGCCTGAAGTAATAAGGTCACCAGCTTCAAAAATGAGTGCGTAGACTAGGAGACAACAAACCATTACATGGAGAAACAGTGTGCAGGCAAGCACCATCACCCGGTGACCATCACGTGACTTTAGTGATGCAAACATTCTTGCCAATTTAACACTAGAATAGGAGAAAAAAAAAAAATGTATATTAATCTAGGAAATAGAACAAAAAAAAAAAAAAATAAGAGGTCTTTCTAGTGCCTTGGTCACAGAACACTGAAGACACCTAAAACATTTCAGTTTGCTGAGTAAAGATTATGAGTTTGTGAATAAAGATTATGTCCTTTGTTTCATTTTACAAGAACTACAGATTTCAATAGCTATAGGCACTTTTATAAATAAACCCTTTCAACCCCCAGCTGTAAGTCAACCAATCTTATTACTTCCTGGTGTGTTTAGCTCAGTGAAACTAAACTCAAGAGCCAGGCGATTGCGCATAGCACCTGCCTTGAAAAGACTATTCATTGAGTTGCACTGGAAAGTCTATGATTGGAAAGCCACAGAAAGTCTGGGCGGAGGAAGAAGGGAAGGGCTTGCAAATGCTGCAGACAAAAGATATGCAAGCCGTTTTTAGATATACCCACAATGTAAACATGCATGCATTTAATTTTTCATTGGGGTAGTGGCAGAATTAGCGCAGTCGCAACTGCGACCGGGCCAGTCACTCCAGATGGCTCGGCTGCACTTGATTCCTGCGACCGGCAAAACTTCAAGACGGGTGTACAGCTGCACCAGCACAAGGCATGCTCTGTCTTGGTGACAGGCAGGAAGGGAGCAAACAACACAGCGCTCCCCTCCTGCCTGTCAATGCATGTAGCGAGACTATGTTCCGACAAGAAGTGCTCTCAGTGAAAGCAACAAGCACTTCCTGTCAGACAGAGTATCGCTCAGCTAAGCTACATGGAGTCAGAAGTTACATGAGGGGGGATAAAATGGGGGTATAAGACATATGAAAGGGCTGAGGGAATAAGACACATGGAGGAGCTAGGTTGGTAGGGGTATAAGACACATGGGGGAGCTGGGTGGGTGGGGTTATAAGATGCATGGAAGGGTTGGGGGCGTACCATAAAACCTGTACATGGGTGGGACTATTTTACATGCTGAACACAAATATGAGCGTTTTATAACAGTAAAATGTATCACAATGATGCTATCATAAGTGAATGTGCAGTTTTTGTGTAAAAATGCAAAAAAAAAAACAAATATGAATGCCAACTGTGGCTAGGGTTTGTGACTAACTAGCTACCAAAAAAGAAAGGACATACCCCATTTTAAATACCCTGGGTTGCATTTCTATGTTTCACCTACAAACACATAAACATTTGTACTTTATACATTTAAATAGATACACATTTGGAGAGGTAATAAAAATAAAATTCTTAAAATATAATGTATTATGCGTTTAAACGTTTTAGTTGTAATTGTATCAACCAGACACTAGAAATGTGCATTCATTTTCAGATGAATGGCAAAATTAATGCAAACATTTTTGTTCATTTTATCTGAAAACAAAGAATCGCCATATAAATCAATTATCAGATGGGTCACTGAACAAATTTCATTCAACACCATTAGTTCATAGCATGCAGGACACTGCTGCCAATGACAGTGCAGCAAATATTTCTCGTGCACATTTTCTGACCAATCCTGTGACCACAATCATAGACCAAATATCACATAAGTGCTATCTGAAGCTGATTGCTTATCAGCCAGTCAGATAGTAACCCTCAATCAGTGCTGTCACTGCTCGTCATAGAGAATCATTGCAATCTGACTAAATCAATGGTGGATTGTAGTAAGTGCTGCGCAAGTTCCTAAAGTCTCCTCTAGGAGCATTGGATTGGACTGGCAAAGGAGACACAGCACTAAAGAAAAGGTAAGGAAAATATTTTCATTACAATGCACACAGGATGGAGCGAGGGTAAAACCAACCCTAATAACTTGCGACAGGTATAGTACAGTATTAGGAATACGGTCCTCTCTCGCCTTGACTACTGCAATCCGCTTCTCAGTGGTCTTACATGTTTCCAACTTGCCCCACTGCAGTCTATAATGAATGTGGCGGTGAGGCTCATCTTCCTGTCTGCCCGCACCTCCCACGCCTCACCACTCTCAGGGCTAGTGCGTCGATCAGGCGGCCGCCTTAGGGCACACCGGCTCTGGGGGCTCAAGATTTCAGTTACTGGCAGGAGGGAAGTGCTCCCTCCTGCCAGGCCACCTTCTGGAACCCGGTCTGGCTGTGTTCTAATCAGATGTGGTGAGGGAGCTCTAAGCTCTCTGCTCGGTACAGGAGCTTCTGTTTCCTGTACCCGGCCAGACTGACAGGAGGTGCTAAGAGAGCACTTCCTGTCATTCCACGTGGGTACAGAAAACTGAAGCTCTTGTAGAGGATCTGCTCCGCTCGGCAACACCAGGAAGGAGAGTGTGACCACTAAGGGGTTGGGGAATGCAACAAGGGAAAGGGAGGGGGAGAAACACCAAGGGACAGGGAAGGGAGGGGACCACTAATGGACAGGGAGGGGAGAGGGGCTGGCTAAGAGGCACATAGGTGAAGATGTTATTTTTAGAGGGGGAAAAAAATGCATCTTCGCCGCGCGTGCGCATTCAGCCGCATGGGAGGAGAAGAGGAGGATCGGAGGAGGAGAGCTCCCCGCCCAGCGCTGGAAAAAGGTAAGTTTTTACCCCTTTTCCCCTTCCAGAGCCGGGCGGGAGTGGGACCCTGAGGGTGGGGGCACCCTCAGGGCACTATAGTGCCAGGAAAACGAGTATGTTTTCCTGGCACTATAGTGGTCCTTTAATGTAGTTGTTGTTCTGGTGTCTACTGCCTGTCCCTGGAGGCATTTTAATGTTAACACTGCCTTTTCAATGTGCAGCACTGACATTCAATGTAACATTGTGGCATACACAGTTTGACATCTATACATAGAAATACACACGTTCAGGCATGTTTTGAACATGCTCATTATTAGTTTATTAATTAACAGTTTAATCCTCCTCCCTTTCCAAAGGTCAGAAGTAATATTTCAGTTTATGATCTGGTTAAATCAAGGGCAAAAATCAGGGATAAATATGAAGAGCATTGACATTAATGACATTTCTGAATTATATCAGTTATGATAACCAGCCTTGATCTGCATTGCCATGATTCTTCTTCTATGTGGAAAATGGTAAAATCTAAGGCATGGTACATATTACAAAAGGAATGACTATAATATGACAGTAGATATGCACTATATGCAACCATTTATCAAAATTTACCATACTGGTGGCCAGTAGAAAATACCAGTGGTTTCCTGGTAGAAGTACCACCTCTACACCTAAATACATACAGCATCCCCTTCTATAGTTGATGGCCTAGGCATCCAAAGTATCCCAGCTGCTTATCTATGAGCAAAGATTTCAGCTACAACCAGAGATTCTAACATATTGGGCTCTCTAATAACTCAAGAAGAAACCAGTGATAAACGGACTTGTGCTGACTACCACCACAAAATCTATTCAAAAAGGAATATCAAAACCCCGTTTTTCAGCCAAAATAAATACCTCTGAGCTCAGTTGAAGTTCAGTTTTCCACTTAAGACTATACTGCTAGATTCACTTTTAGTTTCACTTTATAAAAACAGAGCAGCTGACCATAGCTTTGTCAGGGCTTGTCATTTGGTAATCAAATATATTAATTTAAACCATAGTTAACAAGTTGGTCCCTCCTGCTGCTGTTGAATTACACCAACCAATGGCTGGCAGGTCAATAAACCTACTTTAAAGGACCACTCTAGGCACCCAGACCACTTCAGCTTAATGAAGTGGTCTGGGTGCCAGGTCCAGCTAGGGTTAACCCATTTTTTAATAAACATAGCAGTTTCAGAGAGACTATGTTTATAAATGGGTTAAGCCTTCCTCCAAAGCCTCTAGCGGCTGTCTCATTGACAGCCGCTAGAGTGCTTCTCACTGTGAAAATCACAGTGAGAGCACGCAAGCGTCCATAGGAAAGCATTGTAAATGCTTTCCTATGCGACCGGCTGAATGCGCGCGCAGCTCTTGCCGCGCATTCAGCCGAATGGGCGGAGAGGAGGAGGATCAGAGGAGGAGAGCTACCCGCTCAGCGCTGGAAAAAGGTAAGTTTTTACCCCTTTCCTCTCCCCAGAGCCGGGCGGGAGGGGGTCCCTGAGGGTGGGGGCACGCTCAGGGCACTATAGTGCCAGGAAAACGAGTATGTTTTCCTGGCACTATAGTGGTCCTTTAATGCTGCTCCCCAAGCAAAAAGTAAAAAAAAACAAAAAAACAAAACAACTTTTGTCACTGTTATTTGAGGTTTATTCCCTATATTTAAGAAGTGGGGGGAAAAAAACAAATTTAGAAATTCATCTTTTATAAGCTCTGTCCTTTTCACCTGACAGCACACAGAAAGTCTGAGAAATAAAACAATGTTTCTATTTCACCTCTTCTGAAATGCTGAAGTTGGCTTTGTCTTGTCTGAACTGAATTTTATTAAAGACACGGAGGTGAGTATTATGCTTCTCTTTCTTTAATTCTCCATCAGCAGCGAAGAGAGATATATGCAAAAGAGAGAAAAAAGAACAAATAACATTAGCAGATTGACAGTGCTATCATAGGTATCCACCCCCTTAGTATATAAGGTGTAGCACTCCATGCTTCTTCCTCTTTCTTCGCTGCTCCCTCAGAAGATAAGTACACTCTCCTATTATTTCTATGGTGTGCTCTGTGGGATTATTTTAGATTTTATTATATTATATTATTATTATATATATATTGTATTGCTTTATCTGTTATTTACTCTGTTGTTGGGATATTCTTTTCTGTTTATCCCCCTTTTTCCTTTTTCCCACTTCTTTTGCTCTGTTTTCTGTTTTTTTTTTCTTGCTGTGCCTTTTACTTTCTTGGTGTGACCGTGGTACCCTCAGTTTACCCCTTGGGATTAGCTGTTTTCCCTCCCTCCCGCCCCCCTCCGGTTGGGGCTCCCTCCCCGGTCACACTCTGCCGGGTTTCGCCGGAGGGGCTCATCTGACACCCCCGCAGCGTTTCCCGGCACTATTTTCGGCACCGCCGGCCGGACCTACTTTCGTCTGCGCGGCGATTCCCCTTCACTTTAGTTTCGCCTCTCGCGAGCAACGCGCATGGTCGCCGGTTTAGGCGGCGGCCATTTTATGAACCGTGTATGGTGGTGTTTGGTCCCTCTCACACGCTGGATTTCGTTCCTGTAAGCTCTCCTAGGGGTGCAGTCTGTTTATATCCTTTTACCCTGGAGTTACCCTCCATCTCCCTGTACCTTCCCATCCTGTACCTTGGTTAATCAATCCTAGTACTCTGCCTTTCACTTTGTTATTCTTCTATTTGTTATTTTCTCACTTGCACTCAATTATCTGCCATGCAATCTGGTGATAAATTCCCTGGCAAGCTTAGCCGCTCTATGGCCATTACTGATCCTGACCCCCAGGTTGACCCTGGGCTCATGGGCTCTGAAGAATTCCAATGCCTTCTGGACACCACCATGTCCAAATCTATTTCCAAGGCCATATCTTCAGCCATGGGCGCAATGTCCTCTACCATCTCGGACTCCATTACACAAGCACTCAAGCAGGTACAACCTCACACTACCCCTGCCTTGACCCATACCCCTCCTGAAGGGATACTACCAGGGCGCAAAGCGCTAACCAAACGCAGACATTCACAAGACCCCCCCCCACCATGCAGGTTGACCCTGCTCTGACTGACATGCCTCAGGCTGTCCATGATGGCGCGCAACAACCGCGCAATAGAGCTTCTGGGCGAGCTACGGCTACCAGAGACTGGAAACGGGCAAGAACCCAAGATATACTGTCTGACTCAGACGAGGAGGGGGATGAGGGGTCAGACGTCCCGTACTCTCACCCGTACGAGGACAAGCTCTCAGAGGGTGAAAGCCTCCAGGGAAAGCAGTTCCCCTTGACGCCAACACGTACCTCTGCACATTCAGGGGCGCCCGAGGCGGAAACAGCCCGCGACCCTAAAGATGTTCCGCTATTTGACCCTGACAACTTAAGGCACCCACGCTCTGCTGAGTGGGAACCCTCCGAACACATCGCCTGATACCTGGCCCTCAGGGTACGTAAGTCCCTTTCTCAAGAGGGCCGTAATAAGTTGAGAGCAGAATGCCCCCGACCCATAATTCCTGATGCTGTGGCAAAAACCCCAGAAGTGGACCCTCAGATAGCCCAGTTTCTAGCCAAAACCAGCTGGAAGTCTAAGAGGGGACTGGACTACTCCCTCCGAAACTGTCAGGACAAGTTCCTAGACACCCTGGGTCCTGTCACTAAGCTGTATGAACTGCTGGAAGCAGCTCAGTCGGGCGAGGCACCATTAGACTTTGAGGTGGCGTTTGGCTGGCTCCAACACTTGGTCTGCATGATCGCAATGCCAATACTGCCATGTCAACGGAACGCAGGAAGGCTATCCTGCTGAAAATTGAGCCCAAGCTGGCTAGCATGGCCTCCTCTGAGCCAGGGGCCGCGGCTAAGGGTCTGTTGTTCGGCGAATGCGTCAAAGACCTGGGCTCCTATGTCAAAACCTTCACGGCTCTGGATAAAGCCCAATCATCCATTAAAAGGGTCTTCCACCAAAAGGTTTTCGGTGGGGCCGGTAGAGGTAGGAGCCGTCTATCCGGCCGCAACCCCCGAGGTTTCTCCAGACCGGGCAGAGGCTCCTTCAACACACAGAGGCAAAACCAGGAACGTTCCTACACTCCGTTCTTCCCTTCTCGAGGAAGATCTTGGACTACCTGTGGCGGCAGAGGAACAACCCCAGGAAAACGCCCTTATGGTGAGTACGATTTTTCCCATATAAACGTGGGGGGCAGACTGGCTTTGTTTTCTCAGACTTGGGCCACTATCACGTCCGACAGCTGGGTGCTACAGACTGTAGAGGGTTACCACCTGGAACTGACAGGTCTTCCTTTTCAGGATTCCCTTCCACATGTGCCACACATGCCACAGTCTCACCACGACCTCATCTCCACGGAGATAGAGGCCCTTCACAACAATAATGCCATAGAGGAAATCCCTCTAGATACCCCAGGTTTTATAAGCAACCTGTTCTTGGTGCCGAAGAAAGGCGGGGGTGTCCGCCCGGTTATCAACCTAAGACCCCTCAATGCCTTCATACAATATCGGCATTTCAAAATGGAGACCTCCTTCTCCCAGGAGACTGGATGGTGAAACTCGATCTGCAAGATGCGTATCTCACGATCCCGATAACGCCATCACACAGGAATCTGCTACAATTCCAGTGGGGCACAAAGAAATGGCGCTTCCGCTGCCTTCCTTTCTGTCTATCCTCCGCTCCCTGGTGCTTTACGAAAGTGCTGAAACCAGTGGTTGCATTCCTCAGGTTACACGGTATTCGTCTCATTATCTACCTGGACGATATCCTCATACTGTCTGGGACACGATCCCTTCTGCTGTCGCACCTGTCGTGGACCCTTCACTTCCTGCAGAACCTCGGTTTCCTGGTGAACTGGGAGAAATCGGTGCTACAACCCTCTCAACAGATGGAATTCCTAGGATTCCGAGTCGACTCTGTACGACAAATCCTGTGCCTCCCTTCGGACAAGATGTCCAACATCAAAAAGGAGATCAGGAGGATAATGAACTGTCCGGACATCTCTCTAAGACAACTGGCTCGGGTAATCGGCTTACTAGCGGCCTCCATACAGGCGATCTTCCCGGGACCACTCCACTATCGGGCGCTACAACGCCTGAAAGCATCTTGCCTAAGGAAAGGTCAGTCATACGAATCCAACATCACTCTGGAAGAAGAATCCAAGGAGGAACTGGACTGGTGGTTAACCCACATGAAAGCGTGGAACGAACGGGTGATCTTCGGTTCCACTCCAGATATGATAATAGAGTCGGATGCAAGCTTACATGGCTGGGGCGCGCGCTGCGGCTCCATATCCACAGGAGGCAGATTGTCAGTAAACGAATCATTCCTGCACATAAACTCACTGGAACTACTGGCGGCCTCATTTGCCATCCGCAGCCTCACACCCAGGGGCATCTCTTGCTCAATCCTCCTCAAGTTAGACAACATCTCGGCGGTCAGATACATAAACCATCTAGGAGGTACCAAGTCACGCATCCTGGCGGTCTTGGCTCGAGACTTCTGGCATTACTGTTTGCAAAACAATGTGTCGGTGACCGCGGAACACATACCAGGCCTAGACAATTACACCGCGGACTGGAACTCCCGATACCTGAGGGATTTAGGGGACTGGAGACTCCAACCGAAAGTCTTCTCCAAGATAGCATGACTATGGGGTCCCTTGAGTGTGGATCTCTTTGCGTCCAGACTGAACACACAACTTCATCAATTTTTCAGCTGGCGACCGGACCGGAGGCCTTGGCAACAGATGCCTTCCTTCAGGACTGGACTGGGGGACGAGCATACGCCTTTCCCCCTTTCAACCTGATTGCTCGGACTCTGGCGTACATTCGACGCTACAGAACCACGTTGGTCTTGATAACACCATGCTGGAGATCTCAACCCTGGTTCCCTCACCTTCTGGAAATGG